AATTGAACCAATACCTATTTCCCTACCAAATGGTACAAAAATATATGCTACTCAATCGGGTTCAGTTTTGTTATCTCCAGATATTACCTTGAAAAATGTCCTTTATGTACCAATCTTTCATGTCAACCTTATCTCCATTACTAAACTGATTCATGACTGTAATTGTGATGTTACATTTCATGAATTAACATGTTCAATCTTTCAGAAACCATCCAAGAAAATGATTGGTTCAGCTAGGCAATCCAATGGGTTATATGTTCTTCAAGACAATGGAAACTTGCCCAAAGGCAGTTCCTGCTATCACACGAAAACTGATGATCCCAAGTTATGGCACTTTAGACTTGGTCATCCATCCAATTCTGTAACAAAAATTTTAGCTTCAAATTTCCCTTTCATTCCTTGTAGAGACATAACTCCATGTGATATTTGTCATTTTTCGAAACAGAAAAGACTTCCATTTCTTTCTAGTTCTTCTCAATGTAATAAGCCCTTTGAAATGATACATGTTGACATTTGGGGCCCCTTTTCCATCACTTCTATTCATGGGCATAGTTATTTTCTTACTGTTGTAGATGATTATAGCAGATTTACTTGGGCCATTCTCATGAAAAATAAGAGTGAAACTCGACCATTTATGCAACAGTTTATTCATATGGTTGAAAACCAGTTTCAAACTTCCATTAAAACAGTGAGAAGTGATAATGGTAAAGAGTTTATCATGACTGAATTCTTTAATAACAAGGGAATCATTCATCAAAGATCATGTGTAGAGTGTCCCCAACAAAATGGGAGAGTGAAAAGAAAACATCAACACATCCTCAATATTGCCCGATCCTTATCCTTTCAAGCCCAATTACCTCCTAGCCTATGGTGCTATGCCATTGCTCATGATGTCCATCTAATAAATAGAACACCTACTCCTGTTATAAATAATCAAACTCCATTTCATCTCATATACAGTAAACCTCCTACATTCATGGATCTCAAAGTCTTTGGTTGTTTGGCATATGCAACCACTTTACCAAGTACCAGAAATAAGTTTTCCCCAAGAGCTCAAAAATGCATTTTCATTGGATACAAAAGTAATACTAAAGGCTACTTGTTATTTGATATAAATACAAGAACCATTCTTATCTCACGAAATGTGGTGTTCTATGAAAATCATTTTCCACTTAAAACTACTGTTTCATCCAATTCATTACCATCACAGCATCCTATACCCGACACCTTATATGATTCTCCTGATCTCTACCCTTTACCATCACACACACAGCATCCTCCAACTCCAACAGATTTAAACTTAGACACTATCCATACACAAACCACCACTTCATCCCTTCTCCCACCTCGAAGATCAACAAGAATTTGTTCTCAGCCTAAATACTTAGCAGATTTCCATTGTTTGATGACAGATGCTAGCTGTACCACATCATCTTCAGGTACAACCACTCCTTACCCTTTATCCTCTGTATTATCTTATGATAAATGCTCTCCCTCTTTCAAAAATTTTTGTCTGGCTGTCTCCACACACACAGAACCAACTAGCTATTCTCAAGCTGTCAAGTTTGAACCTTGGCAACAAGCAATGCAGGTTGAATTGGATGCAATCAAATCCACTAACACCTGGTCCATAGTTGAATTACCACCCGATAAGCAAGCTATTGGATGTAAGTGGGTCTATAAAATTAAATACAAAGCAGATGGATCAATTGAGAGGTACAAGGCTCGCTTGGTAGCCAAAGGATATAATCAACTTGAAGGTCTTGATTTCCTTGAAACATTTTCTCCAGTTGTGAAGATAACCACTGTCAGAATCCTATTATCCATAGCTATGGCCAAAGGCTGGCATTTGGAACAGCTTGATGTGAATAATGCATTTCTCCATGGTGACTTGGATGAGGATGTCTACATGATTCTGCCTCCTGGAGTCAGTAGCAACAAATCCAATCACGTATGCAAGCTCAACAAATCTTTATATGGCCTTAAACAGGCTAGTAGACAATGGAATGCCAAGTTGCTTTCATCTCTATTCACTCTTGGCTATCATCAATCTACAACAGATCCATCTCTATTAATCAGGTCCTCTTCTCATTCTTTCACAGCATTATTGATTTATGTTGATGATATTGTACTCACTGGGAATGACATCCAAGAAATTGATCGAGTAAAACATCATCTTGATGCTGCCTTTCGAATAAAAGATCTGGGCCATCTCAGATTCTTCCTTGGTTTTGAGGTTGCTAGATCCTCATCAGGCTTGATTATTAATCAAAGGAAATATGCATTGGAACTTATTGCTGATGCTGGTCTCCTTGCTTCTAAGCCAGCTTCCACTCTTATGGATCCCTCAGTGAAGCTACAGAAAGAACATGGTAATCCTTACTAAGACATTGCTGCATATCGAAGATTGGTTGGCAGATTATTGTATCTCACCAATACCAGACCAGATATAAATTTTGTTGTTCAACAGCTTACTCAGTTTGTAGTTAAGCCTATGGAGACTCATTATCAGGCTGCTTTTCGAATCCTAAGATATCTCAAAGCTTCTCCATCAAAGGGATTATTTTTCCCTGTGCAAAATGATCTCACTCCATCCGGATTTGCTGATGCCGACTGGGCATGCTGCATTGATACTCGACGTTCTGTCTCTGGCTTGAGTGTCTTCTTAGGCTCTTCTCTTGTTTCATGAAAGACTAAGAAGCAAACAACCGTTTCTAGATCATCCTCCGAAGCAGAATACCGAGCTTTAGCCAATTTGGCTTGTGAACTTCAATGGATCTCGTTCCTCCTTCGTGACTTACAACTTCCGCTTACCAAGTCCATCCCTGTGTTTTGCGACAGCCAATCAGCTATCTACCTTGCCCATAATCCCACATTCCATGAAAGAAGTAAGCACATTGATATTGATTGTCATGTCATTCGAGAACGCATTCAAGATGGTCTCATTCACCTTCTTCCAATACGTTCTTCATTGCAAATTGCTGACTTCTTTACAAAGGCTCTACCGATTCCCCAGTTTCAGTTGTTGATTTCCAAGTTGGGTTTAAGAGATATATTACTCCCAACTTGAGGGGGGTATTAGGCATATAAGTTACTGTTAGTTAATATTAACTTTTACTGATAAGTTAAAGTTAGTTAGTTTCAGTTATTTCATTGCTTAGTTTGGTAGTTGCAGTATCAGTCAGTCTGTTAGTTTTCCCGCTCCTACTGTATCAGCTTCGTTTGTATAGCTGCTGCATATATAAGTAAGCAATGTACAGTTTTCTCATTATTCAATTCAATGGAATATTCAGCTTTATTGCATTCTATGAAAGGGAGTTAAGTAAATGAAAAAAAAGGATTTCGGTTCGATTCCCACAGCCTGTCACCTTTGGGAGGGATTTAAATATTTTCGTCTCTGACTCATCTCGCACTCCAAATTAATCTCATAATTGACTTAAAGAATTGAAACTTATGAGATACAAAAAGAAACCAACTTATCTTAAAGATATAATTACGGTTGAGTTAACTAAAAAAAATAAAAAAATTGATTGGGAGATGGACTGTAATCTTTAATGCACTGATTGAGAAATGAAAACCACTTCAAAACGTGAAACGTTTAAAGAAAATGATTTTTAAATTGAAAGACAAATTTCATAATGGCACCATCAATGGTATGAAAATCGGAACCATAAGAATATTCGGGTTTATAATTATGTAAGTTAAAGTCACTCATATATTATTCAATAATTTTTTATTGGATTATTTTATTCCGAAATTCACTGTTGGATTGAGAATTCATATCATAAAACTATATTTATAAATTATTATTACATTAGTATAAAATTAATTATATTTTATTGATAGATATTAAGATTAATGTGATATATACATTAAAATATATAAAACTAAGAATTATTTGATTATATTCTTATTACATTCAATTTTTGCTAGAGTGAAAATAACATTTGACACATACATTTAAGGTAATTAGACAATAACAATTTAACAGTTGAATTGATAAAAATCACAATTTAGTTGAATTGATAAAAATCACAATTTATATAAAACTATAATTGTCTTTGACTTGTTTCCCTTATAAACTGATTATTTATCTCTTTGTTATATTTATCATATATTTTAATAAATATCTGGTTCGATCAGTGATTTTTGATTACTATGATTAAAAGGAAGATATTTTCTTATATCACGGGAGACAATTTTGTTATTTATAAATAAATTCATGAATCATGAAAAAGATAGGAGAAAAAAAATATTAAAACAGATATAAAACAAATAATAATTATTGATGATTAAAATTAGCGATAGATTATTTATAATTTTTTTATTTTTATACCAAATCTTGAATATTAATTTACTTGCATTTAACTGTTTAATGTCTAATTAATAAAAGTCAATGAATAAAAATAAAATCAACCATCAAAATAAAAAATATAACTTAAATCAGTGTAAGATATTATCATCCTTGAAATTATTTTATACATGTTAGATCTATTCCGGCGTGCTTGATGTCCAAATCTTTTCATTCTATAATTTTCAAAAGGTTGACAATCAGTCATACCATTTATTAAGGAAACGTTTCGCTGCATCAAATTTGAGGAAACTTGAAACTCAAAATAAATTGTTTTTTTTTTTCAGACCAAATTTCAGGAAAACTATTTTCACGTTTTCACCAACCAAACAAAACCAACCATTCCCAAATTTTCCTTAATAAGCTTTCTTACTTGTGTGCATTATTAAATTTCTGATAACAAAATTCCCAATCCCATAAACCAAAAAAAAAAAAAAAAAAAATCCAAAAAATTCTTATGTTTTTTACGTTTTCACTTCACCAACCAAACCAAACCAACTATTCCCAATTTTCTTTAATAAGCTTTCTTACTTGTTTTGTGAAATTTTCAAGTTTCTGATTACAAAATTCCCAATCCCATTTCCCAAAAAATAATCCAAAAATTCAACGCTTCTCTCTCTCTCTCTCTCTCTGGATTCTGTAACAAATAAACGCAGTGAAGAGGACACTTTCCCACCGAACCAGAAACAACACGAGAAAAACAACACTTGCTTGCTTGCACGTTCTCGTGCACTGGCCCATTGTCCTTCTCTCTCTTCTTCTTCTTCTTATTCTTCTTCTTCTCCTCCTCGAGCTTGCACCATTCACTTTGTTATACCCTTTCCCTTTTTCTCCGCTGTTTGGTTAAGAACCACCCTTTCTTTTTTTCTGAAAACAACAAGGTATGCTACTTCTTCTACTCGTTCCCAACCAAAATCATCATCTGGGTTCTGATTATTTCCCCCAAAATGCAAATGGGTTTGTTAAAAGTTTTGATTTTGGTGGATTGAGATGGGTTTTCAGAACCTCCCCTGATTCGTTTTTCTGTTGTATTGGATTGGTTTTATTTTGGTGCTTTTTAATTTTGTTTTTGTTTTTGGGTTTTTCTGTGCTGTTTCTTCTGTTTTCTAGAATGGAATATCCTTCCGAAATGATTGTCTATGGTGGTGCAAGAAAAAAAAAAAAGATTGCTTGGTAATTACGTTTGCAATGGGTTTTGTGATGTGGGATTGTGGCTTTTTGCTGAATAATCAATATCAGGTGACGTTTATTTGTTTTTTGTTTTTTTGGATGAATATTCTGCTGCACTTGATTTTGATTACTATAATTCTCACCTTGCGGAGGGAATTTGTTGCATTTCTTATTCTTCCTTGATTTCCTTTGATGATTGGTTGCATGATGGTTAATGTGCTTGCTAAGTGTCTTTTTTTATATCTGGGTCATTTAAAGGCAAAGCTTACTGTTTCACAATTATGACATATTAACTTGCAGTACAAGTGTTTTCTAGGAATGGGAATGTCTTTTATTGAAGTATGTTTGTGAACACCGTTGGTTTACCAATTGGGGTATCTTGATTTTTCTTTTTGGATTATTGATTATTTCTTTTCATTTCTATATTTGTGGATTTATGGCTGGTTCTTGTTGCATTAATTGTTTCATGTATTGTATTTTTATAATGACAGAAGAGATTGTATTGGTCTGGATTGAATGGAGAAGAATCAGATGTCAAACAAGTTAGGCATTTGTACAGTAAAGATTTTTGTAAATATCCATTTAGAGACATGGATTTTGAGTTTGAAATCAGAAGAGATCAGATAATTATCTAGTTTTAGTCATATTTTCTTTCTATGTGATTCTTTCAAAGACTATGATTTGATGCACCCGAGCTGCTGACTTGGATTGTGCTTTTTTATAATTTATTCCATAGTTTAGGGCTTTTCAATAATTGTTAATTATTTCCCTTTTTGTTATTTTAGATTATGTTTGAATGTGTGTTGATTGTGTGTTATCTCCTTTGATTGCGCATGATTATAGTTATTTACTTTTTGTTATTTTATTTTGCCTATTTAAGGCTTGGAGAATCTTATTATTATCATGTTGTTTTTGGTTAAATAAAATTAAGAAAAGAGAAATAGTATTTTCTCGCAATTCTTGTGTTCGTTCTTTCTTTCTGTTTAGCCAATTGGTTACTTTTTCGGCATTATGATTTGCAACTGTTATTAATTTAATTCGAAGAGTAGGTGATACATTTTCATTCCTTTCCACCTTAAAATAGTAGATAATAATGGTTTGTTCTAATTTCTGTACTTCTACTGAAAATTTGAATATGCTTTTGTATTTCATTTGTGGTTTGTATCAATCATTACTTGACTTTCTGTCCTTTTTATTTGCTGTATTTAAAATTAGCTTTGTTTTTGAGTTTCAGGATTGTTGTACTGAATCTTGTTCAGCTCATCTGCATAACTCTTCTCCTGTCTCATGGCCAATGAAAGTGTTGAATTACCAGTGACAGCAGAAGTAACTAAGTCATGTAGGGTTGGAAAAAAAGGGTACTCTACTGGCAAAGCTAGTTCTGGAAATAGTGATGAAAAAATTGAGCCCCATTATCTCAGAGCTTCCACTGGGTCCTGTCATGATTTTTGCAAATATGGGAGGAAGCATACATTTGAGGAGAAGGAAAGACGTTCTATACCTAATCGAGCTGTAAGAAAACAGCTTCACCAAAGTTCAGAAGAGAGTATTGGTGGGAAAATGACGTCAGTTGCCAGGCTCACTGCATCAGTTGATTCCGCGCCAACAAAGAAGATGTCAATGGTCAAACTCAGAGAATCAGTTGATTCCAAGACCCGGATTTCTGATACCTCTGACGCCACCGGTAAAGGTGAACTGCCAACAAAATCATTTGACAGCCAAAAACAAATGAGGAATGAAGTTGTGGTAAACAGGAAGAAAGCACCATTTGTCAAGGTGAAATCAACCCTCCCTTTGAAGTCAGATACATCTCCATTGAAGAGACAAGAAATTTCATCAACTCCCAAGAAGGTGGAATCTCCATCAAAATCAACTTCCAGGAAGGTGGAGTCTCCATCAAGATCAACTCCCAAGAGGGTGGAAACTCCATCAAAATCAACTTCTCAGAAGGTGGAAACTCTGTCAAAATCAAATTCCAAGAAGGTGGAAATGCCATCAAAATCAACATCCAAGAAGGTAGATATGCCATCAAAATCAACTTCGCAGTTCAAAACAACTTCAAAATCAACTTCCAAGATGGTGGAAACTTCATCACAGTTATCTTCTTCAAAAGGTAAAGTAATGAAGTTGTCTGAAAAACGGGTGACTTCCTTAAATCCAAATGATGTAACAAGGAAGCAAAAATCTTCTATGAATTCCTCTGAAGGCTTTGGTGGCCAAAGAAATAGTGAGATCAGGATGGAAAAGGGGGCAGCCTCCTCCAAAATAGCTTCAAGAAAATTGATGGCACCTTTAAGGGCTTTATCGTCCCCTAAACCTTCTCTTAAAAGAGTTGCAAGTATAAATTCAAGGAAGCATAAGAGCCTGAAAATTGTGTCTCCTCTTAAGAATCAGCAGACTGCCAGAAAAGTTGAACTCAAGGAACACAACAATAATGAGGTAGAGGAAAAAACTTTGTATGTCATCACGATGGAAAGTGAAAACAAAACTTTGCAGTCTGATCAAAATGCAGGCTGTGATGATGAATCATACCTCCCTCAGTTGTCATCACCTAAGTCTTCATTATCTTCAATTTCTCAATCCTTATCCCAAGAAGACCAAGAGGAATCTCAATATACAACTAGTGAATTTGAGCAGGATTCGTTTTCAGGTAGCCATGAAATTGAATACATGGAAAATGGGGATATGTTGGAAGTTGAGAAGAAAGGCAAGCTTAGAAAGGATGGGGTTGTATGTTCTGAAGACAAGAACAGCCAAATGATGAAATTAAAGTTCAGAAGGGGAAAAGTGATTGAAAATGAAATTGAGAAAAATAGTCCCAGGAGGCTTAAATTTCGGAGAGGAAAAGTGTTGGGGCAGAAAGCAAATGTTAAGACTTATGCCCAAAGGAAAAGCTTTAAAAGAAGAGATGGAACTTGTGCTGACAGCAATGATGCTACAACTGGTCCAGAGAAGGTTGTTTTGAGACATCAAGATATGCAGGACAAGAAAGATGCACAGGGATTGTTTAATAATGTAATTGAGGAAACAGCAAGTAAACTAGTTGAAACTCGGAAGAGCAAGGTCAAAGCATTGGTTGGTGCCTTTGAAACTGTAATCTCTCTCCAAGAGAAAAAACCACCTGCAGACACTGTCAGATGATGGAATCTGGATAAACATTTTCTAGCTTTTCATTTTTGTAAAGAAATGTTAGGAAAATAAACACTGTCTGAAGGTACTTCAGAAAGTAGAGGTAGATTTGCCTTGAGTTGTCTTTAGAAAGCTCTGCATGTAGAGTTGAAAGGTGGATTTTGTGTTCGGAACTTATCTTTACTTGCACCATATATACTTTTTGCATAACATACTTCTCTTTCTGTTTTGGAAATCCATACTTACTGTGATTGATTTGTATGTCTTGAATAAAGCATAAAACAGTGACTTTGTACTTTTAGCCAGGAATGGAAAAGCGCTTTGAACTTCTGAAAATTTCAGTTACTTCCTTTTATGTTCATATGAAGGTAAGTGTGTTCAGTACTGTGTGTTTTAAGTTCTGAGATATTACTGTCTATTCTTTTGCAACTATTCTTAGTGGATGTTTGTCAACATTTAAACCAGCATCAAGTAGCGAAATTTTGGGAGAATTATGTGTAGAAATCAGTTAATAATTTGGAATCTTTTCCCGTTTCTTTTTCTACCATTTTCTTCCATAATCCATAACCCATAGACAACCAATAAAGCAAAACTCTGGCATAGTGTTTCAACTTCCTAATGCTGTTTAAATCCTATTATGAGAAAATCTAGTTATAATTAGACTATAAGAACATGGGACTTGACGACATGGATAATAAAGTCTTGGAGTAAAAGTTCCTATTATTATGTGCCCCCTCAAAAAAAGTTGCTCTTATTGTCTTTATGCACATTGGTATCTTTCCTTCATCGCTTTGTGATTCACCCCAAACTTAAGGGTATCCTCTTTTGGGCCAGTGTCTGAGGTGCAACAAACTTCAATCTAATTATAAAGTTATCCTCTTTTGTGCCAGTGTCTAAGGTGCAAATTGCAAAGAAATATATCAGCTACAATCCTAGGCCACTTCAATGAGAGTTTTATGGATTTGTCAAACCTTACACAGTATATTTTACCAAGTCTGCAAGGCCCCTGCAGAATAAACCACGGTCACCAACACTGGGGTAAAAATTGTTGTCACCCCATTTAGAGAACACCTCTTTTATCCTAGAGGATACAACTATGAATATTGGTTTTTCTTTGTTTGGAAATCTGCATAGGTTCTGGGGCTATTTCTTTTCCTTTGGTGTGCTTTGAGACAGGGGGTTTGGTATACAATATACTTTTTCCAAATGCTGGTATAGTTGGAGGGAGGCTAGGACAAGATGATTTGGTAGGACTCATAGGGGAATATTTTGAAGAAAAGGCTGCCAAAGGATCAGAAGCATAAAGACTCGATTGCTTTTGTAAATCTGCTTCTATATCTGCAAGTAATATGATTCAGGAAATACTTTTTGCAAAATTAAGGTTGGTTTACCCTTCTACTTAATTTTCTGTTTGGTTGTTTTTGTAAGAATCGCTTCAGAGTTAAGTGTATAATGTATTATAGGTGAATCATGGTTTGCAATGGAACTTTGGTAGAGAAAATTCAGTGATGAGAAGGGAAATAAAACATAAAAAGGTCCTTTTACTATTGTTCCCTCAAATTACTTATCTTAGTTGTGTGACTTTCCAAAGAGAAAGGAAGAACTATCAAAATGCAATAATGCCGAAGAGAATACGAGGTTTACTTCATTGGTGGTTGATTTACAATAAAGTATTGTCAAAACTGAATGCATTTTTCAATGGTCATGCAAGCCAACAGATTTAGAAGAATGAAATAGTTTAAAGATTGAAAAGTGCTTCTAAGTCACGCTAAGTAAAAAGAGTTGATGGTATCTCAACACTTGCTTCAGCAGTGACTAACAGGGTACCAAAACTCATGAGAGTCAAGATAGGGGGACCCCATCACCCTGTGGCGGACCTAGAAAAATTAATTCTTTTCCGCATATTTAGTGGAGGAGGTTCGAGGGCAGCGTCCCCGAAATTTTTTTTGATATAACTTTCACATGGAGGAGTTAACTTATTGATGCAGGAAAAATATATAGGGTGAATAACAATTCTAGACAGATAGAAACATAAACTAGTAAAAAATAATGTATAAATTAAAGGAAAAATGTATGTCATTTTAAAGGATTTAAAGTTGTCATTTTAAATGAGAGAAAGAGATAGATCATGGGAGAAAGAGTGGATAAAAAAATAAATAAAGGTGTGAGTCTCACTTTTTTGTGAGAATGAAATGACACAAGTTGTGTCATTTAAAAGGATAAACACTTCTCATAAATTAAATGTTACCAATCAAGCAAGTATGACAGTGAAGCTATGTCCAATGATTGTTGAGTTGAGCGATTGAAGTGTGCAAACCTAGAAAATCAAGCCATCCTATCTCTTCAGTTACTATATGAAAAACAGCATTCTGCCATTAGAATTATTGACATTTAATCTCAACACAAAAAAGGTATTTAACATCTGTATTGCAAAACTAACAATGACTAATATAAATATTAAACCAAGTGACAAATAAGAACCTGAAAAAAAAAAAAAAATCAAAATGTTTACGTCCGCAAGTGCGGACATTTACCCACACGTGGGTCCGTGAGTGCCATCACCCCTTATCTTTTCAATTGAGACCCTGAAATAACTAGCAGATTTAATGTATATGAAAATTTCCCAAAAGAGAACACTTTAGAGTAAGTATGAGGGCCCTATGATGTGAAATTTGTTGGTGAGGCAAACACTCTTGGGGATTTTTTTTTAATATTATGGGTGTACCAAAATTGATATACCTATTTATTAAATGAGAAAAGTTTGAAGGGATATAAAGAAGAATATAAAAAAAGGGGTTAAATTGAATTTTTTTTACTTGTTTTAGTAAATAGGTGTACCGAGTTCGATACACCGAATCTATCAAAAGTTTGCTCCCTGCCTTGATAAAACCTACTGCATGACAGAATCATTGGTATAAAAAAATAAAAAAAATTATATGCTGATTAATAATTATAGTTTTTATTTTTTCCTGGTGGCAAACGCCGTATCCAACAGATTTAGATTCTCTTATGTGAAAAAGTGATTATGTAATTATGTTATTTGATCACAACCACTCATTAATGATGAAATAAGAGATAAAATTGTATGATTTTAAATGAGTGATTATCATCAAATAATATAATTACATGATCACTTTTTGATATGAAAAGATACAAATTCACATCCAACACCATTCTACTCAAACTAGAGGAAAAAGGCCACTGCCACTTTAGCCACTTCCTTTATACCTAGGAAAAAGGTCACTGCCACTTTGGCCACTTGCTTTTTACCTTCTTCCCACTTACCATTAGTGTTTGTCTATACTTAAAACAATGTTACATTCCATGCATTGCATTTGACCACTTGAGCATGTAAAGTTTTACGACAATCACAATCCTTAAGCTTTCTTATTCTAGATTTGTTGTTTCCATTATACTTCCTTTGCCTGCCACAATTCCTCTAATTCATTTGCTTCTTTTTTTGATTCTGTCTTATCCTCTCTGATTGTGAAACTATTAACAATTTCCACCTTGTGTTGTCAATTTTCCAGCTCGAACTCTCCTGGCAGCTTCTGACTATTTTCTTTGCAAGTTGGTTGGTTGCTTTTTATTCAATTAACCAATACTCATACATATATTATAAGCTTTCAATTATGTTTTACTTTTTCCTTGTGTAAAGTACATGTAATCCCAACTTGGGATATAAATCAGTGGAGCTATTCCTGAATGATTTCCGCCTAAATTATTAACGGCAATACTTTTCTCCTTCATAATTAAGTGGGATCTATTATTTTTTTTAAAAAAGGTTTTATTAGTCTCATTTAACATAAGATAATTATCTTATGTTGTAGAGAGAAAATAAGTGAGTCCCACCATTACAAAAAAAAAAAATTGGAGTACGAAAATCGAAGTAAGAGAAAATGAAAAATGATATCTCATGTAAAAAGTAAGAAATATTTCCAAAAAAAAAAAATAGTTCAAATTTCAATGTGTCTGCGCGCTGGTTAATTGTTTCTCTTGCAACAGTATAAACAATTAACCCAATTATTAAATGCCCATCTATTTCATTTATTTTACTAAAAAATAAAAAATGTATTTACAACTTTTTTATTTACAAACTCTTATAAAGTACACTATGTCTGATCAGTCATATTTAAATCAAAAATGTATGACTGATCAGACTTAGTGTAATTTGTAAGAATTTTTTTTTTTTTTTTGTAAATATAACTCCCAAAAATAAAAGCTTAAACTTTATAAGCTTAGATACTAAAATCTAGTGAACTGGTGTAAGGTGACAACTTTTTTTATTTTTATATAAAATAATAAATTAATTTTTTATTTATTTATAGTATAAAAGTATCTATTAAATATTAAATTAGTATACTTCAAAAACTTTTTGTTTTTTCAAATAACCAAGTCCAAACTTAAAATTAACTCCTTTAAATAAATAAACCAAGTTTCGAATATAAACTTTTTTAAAGTCAAAGTCTACTAATTAGGCTTGATTCATATGCACCCATAATCTCAATCTTCTTTTATATTTAACAAGTTGAGCATCTAAAAAAGTTGGGTGATGATCAGTAGGCCATTCTTCTAGCTAGATTAAGAACTATGCTATTATTATATATAAGATGCCATGAAACTGTCACTAGATACTTTTCCAACTTCAATAGAATATTTCCACCATCTACCCATGGATTATTCCAACTCCAAGTAAAGTCATGCCTAATAAATTCAAGTTCCAATAAGCCATAATCATTTATAATATCACTCATTCTCAAACTTATATAAACATTTGTCTAAACTCCATTTAGATTTTTTTTTTAAAATAAACAAATTAGAGTAACATAAGTTGGTCCGCTCTGTCTTTCAATTTTTATTAATAGTATTTCTCATGTACAAATTTTTTTGGATAGTTCTTCAATTTTAATTATGTATACATTGTTGTATTATGCTATTAAATTGTGTAAATTTTATTTTCTTCATACCCTTAGAAAAAATTCTTGGCTTTGACAAGCATTTGGTAAATGAGAATTTTTTTTTCCTGTGAATCACGATCTCAAGGAATATGTTGGGAAAATGAATGTCTCAATAATATTACCAAAAAGTTGTTTGGTAAATTAAAATATTCTCAGAAATGTTGGCTCAAGTTTCTTGATTATATGTTTAGCTGAATGTCAATATGTGAGCTTATTTTACAAAACTAACATTTCATGAAATTTTGAATTTTTTTTTTGATATATCACAAAAAGGTCGAAATGCGGCGTTGGAGATCAAACCCAAATTTTCCAAACGAATTTGACTGTTCTCAAACCAGTTTTGTTCTCAAACCAGAGCAACCCCAAATTGTCTTCAACAACCAAGCTATTACCATATGCAACAACCATGAAATTGTTCTCAACCCTGAAATCGTCTTTAGCAATCAATTGTTCTTAATCAATTTGCAGCATCTAGCCGTCATCTTTAGCAACGGGTCTGCAAGAGCAACCCCAAATTATGTAACCCATGGGGTTGTGAAAGGGAAGAGAGGAATCCACAATTTTGTGAAGCAGAATATGAGCTTTAACAAGAGATGATATTTTATGAAAATATTAAAGTAAGATTATTTATGTTCTATAAATTTTGTAAAATTATGCTACCAGGCGAAAATCTAAGAATACCACCCATCTGGTGTATTATCTCATGAGATTCTTATTTATAATTTTAATTCCTAGCAATCTTATTTTCTCATAAAAATTTTAAAAATTCTTATATCAAATATAAATAATTAGGATCTCAATATGAGTTTTTTAGGAATCTAATATTTATCTGTCTACCAAACGACAGCCGAAGGTAACGTCAAAAAGAAGAAAGTATGGCCTTTCCACAATATATTTCATCAGGTACCATATTGTTCATGGAAGACAACTTGAATAATGAAATATGTCGAACAAGTAGAGAAGTGCAAATAGGTTGAGTAAGTCAGAAAGAAACAACAATAAAAAAAAATTAAGCAACTTGCGTTCAGCTAAAAAACAGAAAAAAGGAGAAAAATAAAGCAGCAACTTGCACCTAGAGCCTTGGACATAAAGATAAACAAACCAAACCGGTTTAATAATAATAATAATAATGAGTTAATTTTACATTGATGTTATGGGTTTTATTTTTCTTATGTTGCATGAGACAAGTTGTCTCATGCAACACACACAAAATGGGTGGGACCCACTAAAAAGGAAGAAAGAGAAAATAAAGAAGCGGGTCCCACTCATTTTTTGTGTGTTGCATGAAACAACTTGTCTCATGCAACATAAGAAAAATAAAACCCTGATGCTATTCTCTCAATTTTGATAACTGATTATATTTATATATAATAATTCTAATTTATTAAATATGTTAATCATTAAATATAAATAAATCAATGACCAATATTTAATGCATGTCTCAATAATAATAATAATAAAAATAATATATACCATCAAAATGAAAATCCAAAAATTGCGTAGCTGACAGAAAAGAATAATCTCCAGGTAGGAAAAAGAATAGAAAACCTTAGACACAAAAAAGTATTTGATATTTTTAAGGAACAGTGAAAACAATGGGCGCGCATTACGAAATGACCGTCCAATGCCCGAACGAAACGTAAGGATTCGGCAGTGCCAGCTGGAAAAAGGTAACATCATGGACACGTGTCACATTACTGTTTGTCCTTGACAGGTACAATTTCACCAAGACTGATACTCTATGCTAGTCTCTGAAATATTATTACACTTTCTCTTTGCAAGCTCTGTCTTTGTTCCATCTTCTCCTTCTTCCTTCCACCTTTTCTCTTGCATTCAGAGTGTGTTCTGTAATTTATGTTGACCGAATTGCCCCTCTTCAGAGGTGAAAATTACCGATGGTTTTATTACAACTTTTTGCAAGAAAGTTGCTTGCTTTATCCTTGTTTGTTGTTGATTTTGCTGTTTTCTCAGTTACCCTTTTCCTGTTTTTTTTTTCAACTGCATGCAAATCTCTTTATTTCTTTCTTTCTTCCCCCACTAGGGATTGAGGGTTATTCCCAAAGCTGAGATAAGACACAATCTGAGTTTTTCTTTTTTTCTTTTTTAATATAATTTTAAGGTACTGTGATCTATTCTTCTCTTGTTGGCTTGGGGTTTGTTTGTTTGTTTTTTCTTTTCTTTTCTTTCCCCACTTTGAGTGGAGGGTTTCCATAAATTTCTAGTTTTGGGAGGGGATTATGTGAAATCTAGTGAAGGTTCATTTTGGATTTATTTTCTGTAGCAAGAAATTCATGTCCATGTTAACTTACTGTGCTACGTGTCATGCTGGAGAACTGTGTTCTGTGATGTGGCTGCTGTAGGTTATGTTATTGTTGCTGGGAAATGAAAATGTGATCTATATGTTTAATTATCTTCTGTATGTATGTCTAATTTGGGAAAGGTTTGAACTCGTAGATGCTTGCATTTTGAAGAAATTCTAAGTCTGGTCTTGGTTGCTATGCTAGAGCTTGAATCGAAATGAATTGAACATCCCTCACTATGGAACTTGTCTGCTGCTTTTGAGTTTCCTTGTAAGCACCATTGCCAGTATTTTATGCTTCAATTCTGTTTGTATATTGTTCTATCAATCCAGTTAGGACTTAGGATTTAGGAACTCTAGAAGTGTTGAAATTTGCATCCTTCATATGGTTATTTTATGGATCATAAGACTAGTAAATAATTGAAGTAACAATACACTGGAAGTCCACCATATATCAGTGCATTTAAAGGAGAAGAAAAAGAAAATTTACTTTATTTTCATGAACCATCTTTTGAGTATTTAATAAAGCAACTTGATTAGGTGAATTCTTTCATGCGCTTTGCATATTTTTGTTTGCATTTCATTAGTTGTTTTGATGTTTCCTGATTACCATGAAGTATCTAATGAAGAAATTTGGATTTTAGGTTTTGTCAAATGTACGAATACCCTAAGGTATGCCAACAAAAAGTTGTTATAAACTAATCATTTTTCTTTGAGTTTGGCCGGGTGAAGAAAATGATTATTGCAAAGCAGTACCGATGCATGCACTCAGCTAGCTGTCAATGTACTAAAGGGCATTTAAGTGAAGATGTGATATTCTTGGTGTTTCACCATTTGAATTGGAACCCCAAGCTAATTGCTACTCTTTCATGTGTGTGCAAATGGTTTGATGATCTTGCCAAGCGAGTTCTATGGAAAGAATTTTGTCGAACAAGAGCTCCAAAGATGATGCTTGATCTGCAATCTAGTGGAAGCCACAGTGTTGATGGGAGCTGGAGAGCCCTAGGGAAGCTTCTTATATACTGTTCAGGATGCAAGAAAGGTGGCTTATTCAATAACATTCAGGTTCCTGGTCATTTTGTTTATCGGACTCGATTTTCTAGAACATCAGGAAAGAGCTTTCTTTTGCCACAATGCATAAATGATGTTTTATATGTGTCTGATCCTTGTGAGCATCTTGACCAAGGTGAAGATGGAGATTTGGGATTCTACCGCGGAATTTTCAAGTCATTTGCAACCTCAAATGTCAGGAGGATGCTTATTAACAAAGGTGCACAGCTCCATCCAACAGAGGTTTGCCCTTATTGTAAGGCAAAGTTGTGGAGCATGCTGCAGGCTAATATGATCCCACAAAGTGCTAGTTGCAGGTTAGGTTCCTATGAAGACTGTATTGAGTATTATGTGTGCCTTAATGGTCACATGCTTGGAATCTGCACTCTGTTACCATTGTATGATTCTGAAGAGGCTTCTGAGAAGGAGTAAGATATTAATGATTCTCAGGTATTTTCTTGTATCTGAAAAATCATAACTTCTCTCCTGTTTATTTTTCCTTTTTTTATTATTTCCCATTATGAGTCTATAGCAGGCAGCCTTATCTTGCATTTAGAAGAGGCTGATTGCATAAATCGAACCAGTAACTCCGGGTCACATGTCAACAACACAGCCACATGTCAACAAGGCTCCCCTTCATTAAAACCTACCAACTACGGTTGCAGAAAAATAAAATATTTTAAACTGGATAAAGATTTTGGATACAGAATTTTCACTTTCAAGCTGATAATCCTTTAACACTAGGTCCAACTATTTTATCAGGTTTTATATGATATTGAACTTCACATGACAAATTTCATAGTATTGACTTTTTTATTATCAACAGTGTTTGTTTCTTTAATTTACCATAATAAAGAATAATTGTTAGTTATATTAAGTTGGTATGTCATGTTATATGCTGATTGCTTTTGGAATATATCTGTCATATTATATTAACTTTTGGAATATATGTTTCATGAACTAACTATTCCAAAAGATTTAAGTTGTTGGTGAAAGCACAAAAATGATTTTATATCTGGCATGTTCCCTCATGCAAAAGGGCTTCAATGGATTTGCATTATGTGGAAGCAAATAAATGATTTTATGTCTCACAATATCAATAATAATTTGTTTTGAAACTTTTTCATAATCTAACTAAATACAATATTCTCAAAAGGAGGAACTTAATTGGAGTTTGGGGGTTACAGTTGTAATGAATCTTTGATATTGAAATAGGCTATTCTATAGCAGCATAGAATGGGATTCTTTGTAAACTATATAATTTGGTTATGTTAATATTCAAGGTTTTTCTTTTCTTTTTTTATTTCGTGGTTGCAAGTGTTGGCACTCAATATTATTATCATCATGAATGGTTGATTATATGATTTGATTTGGCACTAGCAGTTTACTGCAAAACCAATAGAATGCATTCTGTATTTGGAGATGTTTATGGTGATGCTCATTGTTAGGTACTTAGGTTCATCTTTTTTTAAATACAATATGAGCTATTAATGATAATCTATGCTCACTCTTGGGACACAGCTAACTATCTAAGGTGAAACATCAATTTCATGTAAAATTTATATTAAGAAAAGAAAATGCTTAAAATCAATATTAAGAATAAAAAATGCTGAAGGCATATGCATTACCTACTTTATTCTGAAGCCTTAACAATGTGACATTTCCTTGGACAGATTGGCATTCAGTCCTCACATGAAGTTTGGTTGAAAACACTGTTGGTATCCTTATGGGTAAATATCTGTTCAGCAGCTGCTGAAAAGTACCATTATGATTTAATCTGAACCATTATGCTTGATGTTGCTGTCTCAACCCATGTCAGCAATTTCCGCAAATGATAAAATTATTACCAACAATTTTTTCTTAATGAATCAGATAGAAGGTTGTTACTGTGGACTATGTGATGTACCATGTGACCATGTATATTGATGGGTGGATATCTGTACCTGGATGACAGATTTGGTTGTGCAATAATTCATACTTGTTAAGTATCATTTTGATTTAGTTGTATGTTCTCATTCAGGTTCATTTGAAGAACACTATACCCTCCAATCTCCTAAGTCCACCCGAGCAAAGAGATACTCTTAGTAAAAGTAATTCTGGATTGAAGGAGACGAAACTGTCATTCTCTCCCTTGCCTTGTTTTGGATTTCTGGTAGGTTTGAATTAGGACAAAAAATGTGGGATTTGATGCAGATAGCCTTTCTTGTGGGGTCCTTTTTTCATGAATAGGGACCATTATTATTCACTTTTTTATTTTTGGGAGAATATCCCCTAGTAATCCCATAGGTTTCCTATGGATTAATTCGGAGTTTGTGGCGGGTCTAGATTATGGCTTTAAATCTTCCAAAGATGATACTGCTCATTTCTACCTGCTCAGTTTTCATGCGTTAACTGAGTTATCATCATTTGATATTGTTATTCATTTTATTATTCTACTATCCTCATGCCTAAAACAAAATACCCTCTTTGATTTTTTCTGGAAGTTGAGTTGTCTGCAACTACTGCAGAAGTATACATTGCTCTGAGATGTACCAAATTAATTTTTCTATCATGATATTTTGGATTAAATTTTGATCACTTGTTTAAAAAGTGTAATACTAAAATTGAAAGATCTCTGAAAAATGTTATTTATGACTACTTTTTAAAAATATGTCAACAAATGATTGCATAAGTTATCAAATAAAATTAATGTTTTTCCTTGTAGATTTAGGGTCTATTTGATTGTGTTTTGATTTTTTTTTTCTTAAAACTATTTTGTATAATAGTTAATGTAATATGTGTTTTCTATGTTTTTTTTTGTTTTTGTTTTGAAAGTGAAAAGTTAAAATAAAAAATAAAAATAAAAAAAATAAAATATATTCTAAAAATAAAAAAGTAGTTATAATTTTTTTTTTTCATAAGACAGGTTTTTATCAAATAAGATTTTTTATTCTAAAAATTAAAAAATCATTTTTTGAAACGGATTTCAAATAGACTCTTTGTATATCAATAAACCGGATCATTGATCATTTTATCTGTTTTAAAATAAAAATATCACTTTATTTCTCTTCTTGAATAATGTATCAAATACATATATAGTTATAGTTATGATTAAACTATATCAATCTGTTCCTGTTTAATTAAAATATATCTAATATTTACTCAACTCACCTAGGACGACGGTTTAATCAAATAAGGATAAATTAATATATAATTTAAGAAAAGAAACATAAGAAAGTGATAAATTGATTTTTAAAGAAAGATAAAATAATTAATCAACCGACGATTGACGAACCATAAACAGTAACTTAGGCTTTGGTGGGCTCTTGGTTGCAACCGTAATATTTTTGGGGTTTGATTTTCTCATGTTAAATGAGAATTCAATTATCATGTTGTAGAGATAAAAAGCATGTAGGATCCATGTGTTAGAAAAAATTATATGTAGGACCCATGTCAGCACGAAAATCGAAGGGAGTGTAGGAAAATTTAAATTCTCATGTTAAATGAGAATTATAAAACCCAATATTTTTAGGGGTTAAATGTAAGGGAAATACAAGTCTTATGTTTCACGAGATTTGCTATCTCATGCCATAGACACAAAGCATGTGGGACCTATTTTTTTTTTAAAAAAGTAAAAAAATAAATAAATACTAGCACACCTTTTAATGTATGAGTAGGAGGGGTATGTTATCTCATGTAACATGAGAAAAACATACCCCTAAATGTAAACATGCGAATAAGCAGCATATTTTAACTTTCTATAAGTCATCATATACTTTCACTGTCGAGTAAACCATTTTATATATTTTATATAATATATATGATTATCAAGATATTATCACATGTAACTAAAATTTGTAATTTACAAAAGTTTATTTAATGATGCATGTGTATAAGACTTATACTTTGAAATTAAGTCCTCACCATCCTAAGAAAATTATTGTAAAAAATCTCAACTTTATTATGATAGGACTTCAATTTTAAAACTTAATCAATTACAGGCCTCAACTTTTAATCAATTAAGGATCTCAATTCTCAACTTTAATAGAATATACTTTTAATAATAATTATCAATCAGGAAAAAAAAAGATCATACTCATCTTTTCCTTTATATATATGGGGCAAAATACAGGTTCTTACCTTCCTACAAAATAGTTCTCTGCAAATCATGCATTGATGTCTTTCTCTCAGTAGCTTAATGCATATTAAGTTATTAACTAGTTAAAATATCAAATTTTCTACTCAGTCTCCACTTCCTCTGCTCCAAAGTCCAACCCAGAAATTGTCATCCTTCCAATGTTAACTGCACAATTCAAACCACCAAATAAAACCAATCTTAAAAGATTTTTGAGAAAGAGAAACATTTAAACAAAACAGAACCTGCAAGATCAGTTAGGTACAAAACAGGCTCAGTGCAGAGGATGAAACAATGGTCCAGATATATAATGTATCAAACAGATTAAACTGTTTATAAGCTCTATGCTTAAGCTCATGCATGCATAGAACTTCATCCAAATAAAGCATGTGAAAGGAAACAGCTACTTCCCCTACACCTTCTAAAGCTTAACACCATTTTGTTGCTGTTGATGAATCTAGATAAAGGCTTTACAATATATTAGGATTCTTTAATATGGCGTTTGGTAGAGGAGAAATTTTTTTTTTATCCGGGAATATGGTAGAAAAAACGAGTTTTCTGGGAACGTTATCAAAAAATTGTTTGGTAGGCCAAAATATTCACGGGAATGTTGGGTTAATTTTCTTGATGCTATGTTTGGTTGAATGTAAAATATTGGTGGGAATGTGGATTGAGGTTAATTATGTCCCAAAAAAATTATCAAATATTCTTATCGCATGGGATTCTCAAAATACCACCCATTTGGTGGTATTTTAAGATATAATTTTTCTTCATAAACATGAATCCCGGGAATCCGACTTTTGCGGAAATTTTTTTACAACTCTTGTACCAAACGTGGGAAAATCGAATTCCCAATCTCATTTTCCCAGGATTTTAAAATTTTTCCTTCTACCTAAGAGTAAAGCAGTAAAGGAAGTTTTATAAAAGCACTTCTCAATATCAAAATGGTAATTTAATGGTCCAAAAGAATGCAAAATTATGTCATAAGTGTTTGGATGCAAGTACATGTTGTAGAATGGTAATCACAATATCATAATAATCAAACATAGCTGCATCTAAAACCCGCCTCAAGCTTCTCTTATTCCGCTTTAATAAATTAATAGTCAAAAGCATAAGTAAATTGTGACACAATCACATACCAACAGCATCCAGCCCAGCTAATTTTGGCATGAACTGTTTGATGTGGTCTTCAGCTGCTTTCTCAGCTTTCAATGTCTGACACTCGAATGAAACCAAGATTCTTTTCTTCACATCCTTTTGTTCAATCATACTTGTGACATCCTTATCCCAACTGTTCAAGGTGAATGCAAACAATAAATTGAACATGTCATCAGCATGTAATGGTCATAAAAAAAATCAAGAAAAATGTAAATGAATGAGAACTTCAATTTGTGAGGAGAAAGAAAGTCCTGAAAGAGAAATCAGTTTGTAAATACCAGATAACTGGAGACAAAGAACCAGAGGTAAATAGAGAAGATTGAATCTGACACAGACAATTAGATTACTTATGCAAAATATAGGTTAAAATAAACAATTAGTCCGTATAGTTTTTCCAGATTTGGATTTTGATTCTCATAGTTTATTTTCCGAATAGTGATTCCTATAGTTACTTACACCCATTTGGATTTTCGTGCATCAAAGACCAGTACCTTAATGATTCCAAAGTATAAGAATGATTCTTCATAGAAAATAGTGACTAATATCTTAATGAGGAGAAACTATAGGGACTAAAACCCAAATGAATGAAAGATATAAGGATCAATACCTTAACTGTGTAGGGACCAAAATCCAAATGAGAAAAAATATAGAGAATGATATCCAAAAAAAAAAAAAAAACTACAGGGAGCAAATCAAAATCCGGTGAAACTGTGGGAACTGGGGACTAATTTTGCTTAACCTAAACTATATATCCAAAAGTAAACCAATCAAGTGTCTTTTCCAAAAAAAAAAAACTAGTATATAAAAGGCAAATATGAAAACTAGATAAATACTTGTGGATTTTCTAATTATATGCCTCTCTTTAGTTGCCCTGTCCCGTTGGTATGCTATACAACAACAACTAGGGGTGTAAATGGGTCAAGTTAAGCTTTGACTTTGATAGCTAAGCCTATGTAAAATATTTAGAGCCTATATTGGTAACTGGTCTATTAGCCTATTAAAAACTTAATTTATAGGTATGGCCTGAGCTATTATAAAAAACTAAAAAGCAACACGGCCTGTAAGGCCTACCAAGTTACAAACTAAAGTTTATAGGCTCAAACCAAACTGAAATATAAAAGATAAAATTTCTTATTAACAAAGATCATATGAAATAATTTTTCATTAACAACACATGAAACATAAGAGTCACATGAAAATGTTCATAAATATCACATGAAAATTTCATATATGTATATATACATATAATTTGCACTTTCTTTACTAATTTAATTTAATATTATATTTTAAATTTTAAATAAATAATTATTAATTTAAAAATTAGTGTTACAAATCACGATCTCAGAATATGTCTTTAAGTGAATAATATATATCATAAATATATTATATTATTAAAAAATTAAAAGGCTAACCTGCAAGCTTTTTAAAGTGGACCTATGTCCTAATTTTTAAACGAACTTTTCTAAAAGCCTAAACCTGCTCTATTTAGAAAATAGAGCAGACCATGTCAGACCTAAGGTAGGTCAGGTTGTAGGTTCCTAATAGGCCGTCTGACCCATTTACTCCCCTAGCAACAACCTCTATTTATCTGAGTCATTATAATTAAATACCAGTAGAGTTGCATGACAAAGGTGAATTTCTTGCCTGGACTATACTCCAGAATTTATATCTAAGCGGTTGCCTGATTATAGACATTCAGTTTCATCTTTAATAACATTGTTCTTACTGTTTACCATGAAAACTATACAGATTAAGAATTAAATAAACAAAAGCATAGAGCCCACTGAAAAAGAAATATCACTAGCATGCCATATTCATAGATACAGAAATATCATGTCTAGATCACTATGCTTTACCCATGAGCATGATCAATGCTGTTGAATCGAGCAGCATCATGGCCTTTGCACTCCACGACAGTGGCTTGTTCTTTCTTTGCCTGTTTCATCAAAACCAGATAGGCAATAAAGTGTATGATGAACAGGAAAAGATAAACAACAAAAAGTCACAGTTATTACATTGAAATCTGTGATTGTGAGTTTGATGAGTCGATAATCCTCACCCCTACTGCATTCCCTTTCACATGCCAATTCTTTCATCGTGAAAAAAGATGGAAAGGAGAAACATGTATGAGTAATTACTAAATGGAGATAATATAGTATTAAAAGAATTGTATAAAAACATTGGCTCACATAGAACCATGGGCAAGTAAACAACATACAGACAAATATACAAGGGAAGAACTGATGCACTGAAGGATATTGACTACCCTTTCAAGCTGGTAGTCACAGCTACAATCTCTAGCTGAAAGGGTAACTAAAAGTCAAATTTGTTAATGAATTTTATTAAAAGTCAAATAATTTGGGAGCAACATAGAGGAGCATTTGATATATATATATATATAAGATCCAGTTTGGCTACACTGGTTGTAAAGCCAAAAAGAAGAAGAAGAAGAATGCCATTGCAGAAACCAGCTACCCCTTATGCCTAAAGTCCATTACGAAGGAATAATTATCATATGATAATCTTCCATCCAATGTGAGAATGACAAACTAATAGTCACTGGCCCTACGAAAGAGTGCAATTGACAATAAAGCAATTACTTGAACATTTTTTTTTATGACAACGACAATAAAACTTTTGATAAAAAGGGTCTTTTTCAAACCTAGCTTTATTTCATGACATGATCCAATCCTGTGCTGCTTTAATTTAAGGCCAACTCAGAGATACAAACAACTCAATCACTTACTCTAGAGAAAACTATTAGTATCAATTTCTCATACTGTATAATGTTCACTACTCCCCTAAACCGTCAAGTAAAATGGTAGAAGGAAAAAACACATTTTTCTATCTTCATTCAAAAACATCATCACACAAATAAAGAAAATGCATTAAAATTATCTACTTAAGCAATTTCAAAACTTCGAAAAATGAGCTGGAAATAACCACTGGAAACAGATATTAGTTATACAAAGAAAAGGTGCATATATACATACCAGTGCCATGAAGACCATAGCAAATAGAATGGGGAAGTTGGACGAAGTGCCCTGAGATAGACCCACATGGAAGCAATGCAATTGATGCTACTCCTTCCATCACCATCATCTTCTCCACCTTCCCTTCTTCTCTCTCCTCTGCCACAAAATTCGAACCCCCCCAAAAATTAAAAACAAAGAAAATGAAAATGGGTAAGTGAAAAAGTGATGGGAAAGAAAATCGGAACACAAAGTTTGATTTTTTAACACTACAATTGCACAGGATGAAGGGGAAAAACTGACCCATGTGTGTATGTATGTGAATGAATGATGATTGGTTCGGTTTTGCGACACTGCAAAAAACCTGAGCGAAGAAGAAGCTGATGAGTGAGGATGAAAACGTTAACGTGGTAGCAACTGTAGGGGTGTAAACGTGGCTTCGCCTAAAATAGGTTAGCTCATAGGTTTGGCAGTGTGAGCTCAAATTATAAGTTTTTTTTTTTTGTAAATCAAATTATAAGTTTTTCATCTACATAGAAAAAACATTGACTTAAGTTTTTAAGTCTATTAGATATTTAATAATTAAAAATAATTAAAATAATATTATTTAATTTTTTAAAATTATTAAAATATTAATTGTATTTATTTTATTTAAATAAATAATATAATATAAATTAGGATGTAAATTTATAGGTGTAAAAAAAATATTTATAATTTGTTTTTTAAATAATTTTTTAAAAAAATTTGAACTTATTTTATTTGATATATAACAGGCTAACTAATCTATTTACATCAAGTAGCAAGCAACTAAGAAATTTGTACTAGTGTGTCATTTTGTAGTGCTTTTTGAACCTCTTGCAATGCATGTTGTTGTCGTTTATTTCCCCTTAATTAAAGGATCGAATTATTATTAGTTAACTAAGATTTTTAATTTTATCGAAAATTATTTTTCTTAAACATATTAAAAAAATAAAACTATCTAATTTGACATGAGCAAAATATATGGCATCTATTACTTAACTTTTTTTATTTCAGTTTGTAAATATTAGCTCTTTTTTATTAATGTTGAATGAAGAAAGTGTGTATCATTTTAAAAGATGTAAAGTTGTGTCGTTTTAAGTGAGAGAAAGAGATAAATCATAAGAGAGAGTGGAAAAAATAAATAAGACCATCCAATTCTTTAAATCAGTGATGTCCATATAATGGTACAATGGTACAAGTTATGTGAGTCACATCTCTTTGTGAGAGTAAAATGGTACAAGTTATGTCATTTAAAAGCATAAAAATATTTCTCATGTTAAATTCTTTAAATCAGTGATGTCCATATAACTGCAAGCTTCCACATTTCTACACAATATATGGTTAAAAGTATCACAATTTTCTTTTCAACATCAATTGAAACATTAAAATTCATACTTATTTATCGTATTTTTATGCATCTATTTATGATAATAATATTTTAAAATATGAATTTAGATAATCTCCTCCCATAAGACCATCCAATTGACTAGAGATAGAAAAAAGTAGGGTTAGTTTTTTCTGCAATCAAATTATATGCAATAAGTCCAATACAACGTCGTTTTGGTATGAAAATTATGGTGTTTTTATAATTTTAATTTATTTCAGAATTATTATAATCTTTATAATTATAATTTTTTAATCTTTCAATCTCAAAACGACGTCACTTTGAGAATAAATACAGATAACTTATCTGCACTAACTGCAAAAATATTTTTTTTGAAAAAAATATACTTGTGCATAGCACATGACCTACAATGGGTTATAACTTATAAGATACCGAGTTATATTTTAAATTTGGCTATGGTTTGGTCATGTTGCATGGAACATCAAAATCCGTGATTGTTTATTTATTTTTATTTTTTTAGAAAAATCAGTGGACCCCACTTTGGTGTTTTTATCTAATGATACAGTCATTTTCCAGCAACATTATTCTTATAAATCCCTTTAAATATTTGTGTCTAGAAAATTCATAGGCACACTAGCAGAAGTGAACCTAACCTCGTCTTACATTACACTCCAAACTTAAAATTTAGTCCTTGTCAGTGAATAACCAAATTATCCCCTTTCAGTACTTTTTTTCCCCCAGTTCATCAAAAACATAATTAATCCAATTCGAAAAATGTTAAGCTCATAAAAAACGACTCTCCCAACATAATTTTCTGTGTTCTCCGTTCTTAGGCTCAAACTTAGACCTTTAATCAAGAGAACAAGCTCACTTAACCCCTTTTTGTCCAAACATTACTATCCTCATTAATAAAAATGAACAATCATCATGCCAATATCTAAGCATTAAAAAACATAGCCCCTCATTCCCAATATGGTTTTGCAGACCATTGAGTAGTGATATATTAATTTGCATATGAAAAATTGTACTATTGAGATAAATTACATGTCACTTAAAAGTGAAGTACTCGCACTTCATGCTTTCTCAAGCATGGTGTTCGTATTGAGTATTGACCAATAAAAATTTTATGTGAAGAACTACAAATATATGCAAGCTATGCACAGGATCAGAGTTCCATTCGTGTAAGAAAACCATCTATACTCAAAAATTTGTGTGAAACAAGCTAGCATGTGGAGAAATAAGGAGGATTAAAATGCATTCACAGAATCTGTGGAAAGCCTTCCCGGGTATCTTTAGTAGTGTATTCTGAATCAGCTTCAACCCTCTTAAAGATTAGTTTTTGCTGGGGAAGTTGACCATTGGCAAATGCTGTGACTTCTGTGTCTATTAAAATTGTGTCCTCATCCTTAAATTCTCCTCTTAGAATACCCTTTGCAAGTTCATTCTCCACATTTTGCTGAATCACTCGCTTGACTGGTCTAGCACCATAGTTGGGATCATACCCCAAGCTTCCAAGAAGTTGTATGGCAGCTTCTGTTACTCGGATTTTCATCTTGCGATCCGCAATTCTCTTCTGAACACGCTCTAGCTGTAATAAACTTAAAAAGTGAGTCTAGTTTTTATCAAAAATGCAAGTTGATCCATGCATTCTAAATTCATAATGTTAGAGAAATACGATATAAAATATAAGATCATTAATGTGTTTTCACCTAAAAGCTTAAGCTTTTGGGTTAATTGATTCTTTATATGATATCAGAGCTTCTGTGACCAAGTGATTACGAGTTTGATTCTCACCGTCCCCCAATCTATCAATAAATAATTACATATCATAGAATTTCTTAGTACAGGTAGATGGGCTCATGCATTGTCCACCCTTCAAGCCCAATTGGCTCTCATGTCAAGGGGTGTGACAGAGAAATATGATATAAAATATAAGACGAATAATGTGTTTTCATCTATTAGCTCAAGCTTTAGGGTTAAATTGATTTTTTACCCATAAGCCTTTAATAATTCTAACCAGAATTCTTTATGACTTTCTTCATCAATATGGACATAAGTAATTCTTCACGAAAAAGAAAAATGTGCAGGGTTTGGATGGGTGAAGGACTCTTATAATGAATTTATCTATTAGTGAGGACAAAATTACCTGTAACCTGACAATGCTACTTATTTGATCGCGGTCCAGTGGCCGGAAAACAATATACTCATCAACTCTATTCATGAACTCAGGGCGAAAGATGGATCTTGCAGCATCCATTACCCGCTGTTTTATGGTTTCATAAGCTAACTCTTTGGGCACATTGTCATCATCTGTGTTGAGAATGTATTGTGATCCAACATTTGAGGTCATAATGATAACAGTGTTGGTAAAACTTACAGTGCGACCCTGCGAATCGGTTACTCTTCCATCATCCAAAATTTGAAGGAATACATTGAAAACATCTGAGTGTGCCTTCTCAATCTCATCAAACAAAATAACTGCATATGGTCTGCGGCGAACCGTCTCTGTTAGCTGCCCTCCCTCTTCAAACCCAACATATCCAGGTGGAGCCCCAATCAATCTTGAAACTGTATGTTTTTCCATGTACTCACTCATATCAATTCGTACAAGTGCTTCTTCTGTATTGAACATGTAGGAAGCCAGGGTCTTGGCTAGCTCTGTCTTTCCTACACCCGTGGGTCCCATAAACATGAAGCTTGCAATCGGGCGATGGGGATCTGAAAGGCCTGCTCTTGAACGTTGGATTGCCTCGGCTACTGCCTTAACAGCAGGATCTTGACCGACGACACGCTTATGGAGCTCTTCCTCCAAAAACAACAACTTCTCTCTCTCTGACTGTTGAAGTTTTGAAATGGGGATACCAGTCCACTTACTCACAATTTCAGAAATATCATTTCCTGTAACTTCCTCTCTCAACATAGACTTACCAGAGTTCATATAATCATGTAACTCCTTCTCTGCACTTTCAAGTTGTCGTTGCAAGGAGTTTAGACTGCCATACTTCAATTCAGCAGCACGATTAAGATCATACTCCCGCTCAGCCTGTTGGATCTCAAGATTTACCCTGTCTATCTGCATATATAAATACGGCAATGATCAGAATCAGATCTTTATCTTACCGGTGCATAAGTCAATTGTACGCAGCCTTAGCCTTAGCCTTACATTTTATTTTATTTTATTTTATTTTTTTGCAAAGAGGCTGTTTTCATACTCAAACCCATGAACTTCCAGCCACAAAGGAGCAAAATTGCCGTTGTTCCATATTTGCCCACAATCAGATCTTTATCTTCCAATTAATATAGAGTAAAGCTTTTATACATGTGAATTTCTAATGTCAACGCATAATTACTAAATCAATCTCTACACTTGCACTAGTTTTTCAATTTGACAAAACCCAGCAAAAAGCTATCTTCATAGCACTCATTCTTTCAAAGTTCACTTATTTAAATAAAAAAAGAAGAGCACCTTTAGCCAAAAAATAAAACAAAATATGATAACACACCTCTTCTTTAATTGACTGAAGACGAGTCATTACAGACTTTTCATGCTCCCATTGCTCAGTTAGCTCATCCTGTTTCTCTTTTAAGAGGGAGAGCTCTGTCTCAAGACGATTTAACCTATCTTTAGAAGCCCTGTCTGTATCATTCATGAGAGAGAGTCTCTCCATCTCTAGTTTCAAGACTGACCGATTAATCTCATCAAGTGCAGTAGGTTTAGAAGTAATTTCCATTTTCAGTTTAGCAGCTGCTTCATCAACCAGATCAATAGCTGCAATTCAGAAGTAGCTTGCAATTAGCACTTCATGAGCACCATTGATGCTGATTCATGAAGAAAATGTAACACTTGACATTTTTGTCAAAATTATAGGGGTTTAGATAGAGAAACACAAAAAGAGATAATAAGCTAATGAATAATCTAAAATTGATATCGATATGACGTGATACAAAAGACAAATCATTATCCCCTGTTTATACTAGTACTAGACTCCTAATTATAATCAAATAAGAAAACAAATTAGGAAATATAATGAAACATGAAAAACACTTCTAACATATGCTCCGAGATACACTAAGATATTCTTAGATACAATAATAATATAACAAGAATATGAGATACATTCTAAGAATTTAAACGAAACAATTTCAAAAGCAAATAAAAAAAATACCTAAAAACAAAAAATTTCCATTAACCTTCAATTGAATTCACATATTTTCATACTGCATGCTTAAATCAGTCTGAGATTATTCTAATCCAGAATCCAAATCTCGTTCTTATAAAACTTGTAAGGTGTCATAATACTAAAATTGAAATTACATACTAGAAATAAACTTAAATCCTGATGAGATTTCTCAATCTTAGTGTAATACATTAAATAGCCAAGAGCTGGTTGCAAGTACTCACCTTTGTCAGGCAAAAACCTCCCACTTATGTATCGATCTGAGAGAATTGCAGCTTCCACAAGTGCACTGTCAGAAATGCGAACTCCATGATGCAGCTCATATCTTTCCCGCAGTCCCCTTAGTATTGAAATGGTATTTTCAACTGAAGGTTGGTCAACATAAACTTGCTGGAACCGACGCTCTAGTGCAGGATCCTTCTCAATATACTTCCGATACTCGTCTAATGTGGTTGCACCAATACATCGTAGCTCGCCCCGACCAAGCATAGGCTTTAAGAGATTACCAGCATCCATAGCACCATTTGTAGCACCTAGCATATTGTATATTATAGATTATAATTTCCAAACACCATTGGTAGGCATCAGATACAAACAGACGCAATATTTCAGGAAAAAGATATGAATTGAAATGAATCGTCTTCTGTGATTTGAACATCTATTGATCTGAAGGGTTTTCATATACCAAGTATGTGTCAGAGAGAAAGAAAAACAGAAGTTAAAAGAAATTTAAAACAGTTGTCTAGACTCTCCAAACAGATTTTACAATAAATCAGCTGTCTCAAAGTGGAAAAATGGAAAACTTTGAAGCTCATTACCTGCCCCAACAACTGTATGGATCTCATCAATGAAAAGGATAGTCTGACCATCAGATTCTGTTACTTCTTTGAGAACAGCTTTCAGCCTATCCTCAAATTCTCCACGATACTTTGCTCCAGCAATAAGTGCACCCATATCAAGAGATATAAGCTGAAATGCGAAAAGTGTATCAGATCAATTTTACAACTCCTGGCCAACACACAAGTCCAAAAAGGAGAATAAAATAAGATAAATATTACATTCTTATAAAACAAATCAATGGATAGAGATCAATATAGTGAAAATGAGATAAAAACTTAAAAATCTAGTTATTGTAAATCCTACAGTCCCATTCTTGCCCCTTTTTCTTCCAGTTTTAGCTTTATCAAGGATATTAGAATAGCCTTATATTGGATAACACACGTACCCTTCGATTCATCAAAGCTTGAGGAACATCTCCTTGAACAATTCTCTGAGCAAGACTGTTTCAAAGGCAGAGTTAGGTCAATATGCAGAACATATTAACGAAAACTCACAAAAGCAACCACATTAGGTACAAGCAAGTATTTGACTTGCTCATCTTTCGACAAAATTATGAGAAAAACATGGACCTCTGGTTCAACAAAAATATTCCAATGGCATCAATCTCCATATTAAGTACTGTGCATGGTTTCAACTTGAGAACCACATCACCTGACCTAATGTGGCTGCAATATTGTGGTTGCAGACATCACCCTGCAATTGCGGGATGAATTCACAAGAAAATCCGCAATGCGAGCATAACGGCCATAACATTATATCTTTTGTTTAAAAATAAAAAAATTCACAGTTCCAAACTTGAAAAAATTGCCACAACCAACATCACGGTAGTCACAATGCCTACAATTGCAGGTACCACTACACAACTACAACCGCAATTTAAAACCATGGTACTGATATAGTAACCATACAATTGATCATATTGTTTCTGCGATTATAATCAATACAGCTATAGAAAAAAGAACGCCCTCTGGTTAGCCAATTATTACATTCCTACTTTTAAGAAACTTCTTTTTTAAAATAACGAGTTTTATGTAGTTATTAATATTTAAATCAATTATCATTTATTTCTTAAAATATTAAAGAAATATTTGTACCGTCATATGTTTAAATAAATTATTTATTTTTTATTATACCTAAATCACGGGCACTGTTGTATTTATGAAGCAAGAAATTTAACAGTAAAAACGCTCAACAATAATGCAAACACAGGCAACAGTTAGGAGGAAGACCTAAGCACTTACCCTTCAGAAATTGCAGTCTTTCCAACACCAGGCTCACCAATTAGCACAGGATTGTTCTTTGTTCTCCTGGAGAGAATCTGAATGCACCTGCGTATTTCATCATCTCTTCCTATGACTGGGTCAAGTTTTCCTGCTTTAGCCATTGTTGTCAAATCTTTCCCATATTTTTCCAAGGCTTCATACTTTCCTTCAGGATCTATGACAAATTTAAATTGAGGTTTAAGCACTACAAGATGATTAGAACACAAACTATAATGTACAGCTCCTAACAACCATGGAAAAGACAAACACAATCTAATTACCCTGGATCACTGTACCATTCGAAGTTAGTTAAGTCTTCAATAGAAGACAATTAACAACTCTAACTGTCCCTGCCCCAAAACAAAAGGGGGTAACAAGGAAGGAGAAAAAAAAGACAACTACATATCACACACTATAATTATAAAAAGCAAACAAATAATATATGACCTTGGTCAATAACTGATTGGCGTCCCCTTACGGACTCTATGGCAGATTTTAGAGCTTGCTGAGATATTTGAAAATCTCTAAACAATATCTTCCCAAACCTTTGATCTTGGGCAAAACCAAGAACCAAGTGTTCAACTGACACGTATGAATCCCCATATTCTTTCTTGAAGTCCCTGGCTCTCTGAAGCAATGCCTCCAAATCACGCCCCAACATTGAACCACCTGATTCCCCTAGAACCTAACATAATTGGACAAGAGTTTATGAATCGGGTTAGTGGGCTACAGACACAGGTAGTAGTTTACTCAACCTGCTAACAAAATACAAGTGCTATATTTTATAGGCATCTGAAAACATACAATAAGTACCCATGTGTTTACTCCATATCATTTGCATTGGGCATCTGCTCAAAGCCATATATTGAACTTTAATAGTGAATTCTGGAATTCAAATCAAATTATCAGAGGCTATTGATATAAAAGAACCATCAAAAGGATCCACATTCCAACAAATACTGGATCTGGACTGCAGCCAACAGCTGAAAGTCAGCAATATTTCCAACATCAATACAATAAATAAGTCTTTTCTAGCATTGACAGAACCAGAGAGAAAAATCTCAACAATTATAGGTCAAACTGGATGAAGTGAGGGATAAAGGAGAGATTTCACCCATCGAAAGTGGTATCATTGGAATGAAGGAAAAATGGAAGGGTCCGAATTTCATATCACCATCTATTGACAGGTTGGACCAAAATTAGTTTCGCATTTTACTCCTGTCCTCTCCAAGTTTCATTTCGGATGAGAACGAGGTTTCATAAACTTTGCAAATTGGTCAGATCATAACCACATTATGTGATGGTGACATGTCAGTTTCATCTAAATGTTAAGTCATTCCAAAAACAAAATTATATTGCTATTACTTCGCTTCCAAGCTTGAATTTTCACTATTTCTTTCCAACTTCACTTCTACCATCAAGTTGTAGACTTCATACAATTTCCATTTAGGTATTAACTCTTAAGAAGAAAAAGCAAACCTAAAATCGAAGTTGCAAGAGAATATGGGTAAAACCAATAAAATCAAAATGAATGTCAACAAGAAGGAAGTAAGACTACAGTAACAAGCTAAAGACATAACTATAAGCACCAAGGCATAATTAAAGGAGTTCAAATTATTTGAGTTGGTCAATCACCTTGGGTTGCCGCTGAATGTGCTTATCAGTGGCCTCTAGAAGCCGGGTGTTATCTACGCCAACCTTGGAAAAGATCCGGCGAGCAAGACCATTCTTTTGCTCTAACAAGGCTTTCATCAGGTGCTCTGTCTCCACAATCTGATGCTTGTTATCCTTTGCCACTTCCGGCGATGAGACAATCGCTTGCCATGCCATTTCTGTGAATTCCTGCTGTGAAATCTGCCATTGCATCAAAACCCATTATCAAGTTATTAGTTATCAACCACTACACCTCTAAAGCTTCACCAGACCAAAAATTACAACAATTCAGATTGGCAGAATTACAAATGAGTTTGAATTTTGACATCTAACTAGACCTATAAATGAATCAAATTAATTTGAGTTGAGCCAAGTCAGGCCTGGTTTGCATGAGCTAAAATCAAGCCCCATATTGATTAAACTTCTTAAATTCAAATTTTTAACGCAATAAAATGCATTATTTTTTTACATATATGTAGTTAAGAATAACTTAGTCATACCAAAAATAAGACCCTAAATAAATCAAATATTAATGTACTTAATTAAATTATGATTATAACATGTAAAAGCTCAAACTCTGCTCGCCAATTTTTAACTTATTGTTAAGGAACCGAGTAACAACAACTAAAAAGATTGGGTATAACAAAGGATTGTCATTAATGCAAAAAGTTGAATCTTATCCTAAGTTACCTTTCCACTTGAAGCTGTGCAGTGAACAGAGAACTGTTTGGGATTTCTTCGAGTTCTCGGAAACCCATTTGAAAAAGCTTCTCTTTTCTTCAATGGGAGCGAATTTAAGGTCTTTAGGGAAGTGGGTTTCGTGGAAGAGCTAAGGGAGAGGGAGAGCTGAGAGTGAGGGAATCGAGCATCGTTTCTGTGACAGCAAATTGGAACGGAGTGGGGAAGACAGAGAGATGAAAACGACGTCGTAGAAGCCATCGCCGGAGACCAGAAACTCCGACCAAGTCGCCGGCGAGATTGTTGGTGTGGTGAAGTTGTGTGAGTGAGTTCAAAACTATGCGAATTTGAAGAGGTTATGAAACATTGGAACAATGTTGAATACCTTAACCAGGTTCACACACGTGGCCCAGTTTAGATATGATAGGGAAAGTAAATATTTAATTTGATTTGAGCCCTAGGAAAAAAATGTACATTTTGATGATTTTTTTTCCTACTTTTTTCTCTTAAAATAATATTTTAGAATGGGTTTTATTATTCTCCTTTAATATAAGATAGTTATATGTTGTAGAGAGAAAAATGGGTGAGTTCCACCATTACAAGAAAAAAAAGTAAGGTGCGAAAATTGAAGTGAGAGAGTAGGAGAGAAGTTAACTTACGTAAAAGAAGAGTAATATTTCCCTTTTAAAATATATAAAAAAGGAGAAGGGTATACTTACAACTTATTTTCGTTTACAACCTCTTATAACACATATCTTAACCGTTGATTTTCATCAATCAATGGTTAAGATTTTCGCAAATAAAATTTATTAATTAATTATTAATTCACAATAAATGATAACGGTTGATTGACGAAAATCAACGGTTAAGATATTGGTTGTAAAAGATTGTAAACAAAGATAGATTGTAAACAAAGATAGATTGTAAGTATAACATCTTCCTATAAAAAAATAATTTATAATTCATTATTCATATGCATTTTAGAATAGTTTAAAGTATTTATATCACGCATAATTCCTGGATCAGCTATTCTAATGTTGACCAATCAACGATTGATTTATTTATAAAATTGAGTAATTAATTATATGATTGAGGAAGAGATCAATCAAATTAGGGGATTATTTGTTATGGTAAATACAAATTAAATTAGGATAAGTTAGTGTTGTATATATATCTTATCTATCGTAAGAGACTAAAACATCTAAGATGATTCGTCGAAAATCCTCCTAATACTTCAAAAGAATAGAGTAATTCTAAAGAGACTTTCGCAAAATGATGTTGGGACTAAAATTTGAGGGGGAAATATAAAAAATTCAAATGTAAGTAATGGTGAAATCATACATCGATTAAAAATGATCAAGTGAAGACCATATTAGTAGAAAAAATTCATTGATAATCTTAAGGTTTAATGTTTAGATATGGTGCTAAATCCACTTATTGTAATTTGTCGCTTAAGTCTATTGATGAAAGGTAACCCTGCTTAGCCCATAGAAAGTATCCATTGTAAGGGTTTTGAGCTCTCTTATACATTCTTAGTAGTGGTACTAGAGCATATAAACTAAGTGTCTAGAGTTCGATTTTCACTGACCTTATTCTTCCAATAAATATAATATTATGAAATTTAATAGCACAGGTAAATGAGTCTACCCATTATTAACCTTTCAAAGCGGACTTTGTTTCCACCTAATAATTTAAGTTTTTAAGTTAAATTGGTTTGGGAGAAGAAATATTTTTTATTTTTTAATATTTTTTAAATTATTTTTATTTAATTATAATTTAAAATTCATTATTAATAAAAATAAGAATTAATTTTTCGTTATATTCCATTATATATTCTCTGTTTTCTTCTTCTCCTACCTAGATTTTTATAATTTCAATATGATATAATTTCGATCATATTAATTTTGGCATGATATAAAAACTCCTTTGGGGTGAGTGTATTAAAAAAATTAAACACTTTATGATTGTCTGAATGAGGGATTGGAAAAAAATAAATTTAAAACATCCATAAATTATTTTTTAACTTGTTTTTAAGTCATAAAATCATAATTTAGCATAAATAAATAAATTTATATTTTATAATATATCATTATAAAATTGGGAAATGTTATACTTACACCCTATTTTCGTTTACAACCTCTTACAACCCATATCTTAACCGTTGATTTCCGTCAATCAACGGTTAAGATTTTCACAAATAAATTTTATTAATTAATTATTAATTGACAAGAAATGATAACGGTTGATTGACGAAAATCAACGGTAAGATATAGTTGTAAGATATTGTAAACGAAAATAGATTGTAAGTATAACCTCCCCATAAAATATTACTCAATTTTTATTTTTTTTATTTTTTATTTTTGGAGGTTATTTTTTTTTCTTCCTCAATTCTAAAATCCCAAATTTTTATCCTCCGTGTTAAATATTATAACTTTTAGAACTTGAAAAACCGAGAGCCAATCATTCGATTAGTCCAATCGGCCTTCAAAAATTGAATTTCCAAAAACCATTGAAAAACCAAAAAATGGGCCATAGACCGGTCAACTCGTTTAAACTGGTTGTGGTTCAAATATTCTAAAAGTCCAATTCTCAAAAAATTTAAAATAAAACTGTTTGAGTATAGTGATTATTTAGTTTTCAATTTATAACTAAAACGTAGCTTTTCTCTTTTTAATTTTTCCAATGTGAAACAAATAAAAGCTTTGTAAATGCATTGAAAGTTTAAATTACTATTTATGATAAGAAATTTCACCTCTCTTTTTTTATTACTTATTAAATATAAAATTAATATATATTAGAAAATGAAAAAATATTTGTCATTCTTAAAAAAGGAATAAAGTATCTAATGCTATTTTAGAAAATTTTGTCTAATATTCATCGAAACGACATCGTTTTAGGTTAAAAGATTAAAATGTTAGAATGATAAAAATTATTATAATCTTGGAATAAATTAAAATTTCAAACACACTATAGTTTCAATAAATATTAGACAAATTTTTTTAAAATAATATTAGAAATAAGAACCCTTTAAAAAATATAATTTTATGTCATTTTAAGTTAAACCACACCAAATGTATATCAAAACACGATAATTTCCTCTAAAATGATAGAAAACTATATCATTTTAAATAACAAATGCATTTCCCATTAGAAAATCATGTTACTTAATATAATACTTCAAGTTTTCGAAAGAGAAATATGGCTCCTATAACATAAAACTGGAGACAGTACATATTTTGTGATTTTTTCCTAAACATAAACGAAAGCAAAGGGAATTTAAACTGCAGAGTCACAACCATTACCACCATTTCATGAGAGTGATGCATGTAGTTAAGCCACTATTGCCTTAACTGTTGTACAAGAGTTACAAGAGTAGCTATGGTATTACAGCACATTCAAAAGGTTTAACTCTGAAACCATTTTGCATCAACTGGCTTCACAATCCTCATCAACTCAGAAACTCTTTTAACTGTAGCATTAATGAGGCCATTTTGCAACCAAAGAATTTGTGTATGAGGAAATCTCTGAAAACCATAGATCATGTTAAAAATGAATACAAGTGTAGCCTTAACCACCTAAAAAAGATGACATCTATTCAATCCGTATCCTATAATATAATACATCCACATTTGTTTTGCTTAGCATCGCTTGCCACTTTCTTATCTGTTTCAAGAGAAAAAGACCAGAAAGTCAATAAGGATCAGATAAAGCACCAGAACTCAAAATTGTTCTAACAGAAACTGTAGAAGTTTTATATTTAGATTCAAGTGGTTACTCAGTTTTTACTTATCTAAAGAGCACTTTTCACTTTGTTCCAAGGTGAGTTCCCTGACGAAACCTACTTCATATGAGATTAAGGCGCCCAACTAAGTTTAGACGCCGCGCCTAACCATGTTGGCACTCGGCTCAATCCACCAAAGCCTCTTAACCCGGATCGTGGGATGACACCCCCACGATAATGAGCCCTTTAACTCAGATCGTGATACTACATCCCACGATCTTCTGATCACCACTTGTGGATTTAGTGGCGGAGCCACGTTCGGACTAGCTAGTGCCTTGGCACTAGATAGTTTTCAAATTTTTTAAAATTTGGCATGAGTAGAGGCTAAAATATGGCAGCTATGCCAAACAGATAAAAGTATGAGAGGGGCTAAAGTTTTTGGCATGGGCTAACATTTCTTGTGAGAGTTTCTCACTTTGGATCACCCCACACTCCCTCAATTGCCACCAAGGTACTGTGCTTCCTCTGCCAATTATCTCCCTCCTATTGCTCTGTAGATAGAAACACTAGCTCCGTTGCTAAACACATTTTGTTCAATGCCCTAAACACACTTTAAGTAAAGTGCACTACTATTAGTGTTACTTGCAAATTGTGTTACCAAGGAAGTTCATCTAACTATCAGACTACTACTCACAATTTGATCTTTCTGGTACCAAACTACTGGCAGTGAAAAGAACAAACTTAGTCCGGTCAAACTTTAAAATAAGAATATTTTATCTTGAAGCTGTTTATACAAGCAAAACATATAGCTATTAATAATAGTAGCTTTTGGAATGTATCAGAAATAAATACTAAACCTTTCTCCACAGTAGGTGGTTGCACAACAACATGCATTGTTGTAACTCCACCAGGTAGATCACACAATGGGCTCTGGCATTCCCCCACCGTTCTGTTGTTCTCCAATATTTTTCCAGCACTAATTAACTTCACATCTTTTACAGTTCTTGGGCCATACTCCTTGTCTTCAAAGAGAAACACAAACTTAAGATCTCATATATCTTATATACCAGTAAATTGCAGAGAATATGGCACTGTTGAGCTCAGTTGTCAGTAATATATGAACACATATCAAATGAGATCCATGAAAACCAAATGGCATAGATACTTAGCTACAAACATACTCTTGAAAAATTCTAAGGAATAAAAACTACCTCAAATATATATATATAGGGTTTTATAAGAGTTATGTTGTAGGAAAAGTGATTGTGTAATGTTATAGAGATTCGTTTTGCGTGTCTTAATTTTTTATTTATTTTTTTGTTTTAAAAAGTGTGGGCCCCACAAAATGTTGTGAGTGTAGGAAAGTTTGTTGTGTTATGTTAAAGGATAAAATGAAAACCCATATTTATATATATAGGGTTCGTCGTTTCTCCTTTCGCTGCTGATGAGAAAAGTTGCAGCAAATTATTAACACTAGGATACGGGGTCGTATCCTGGCCTAAAAAAAAAAAAAACACATCAGGATTCGGACGCGTATCCTGATAAAAATAAGTGTTGTTGCACTTTTTCCCATCTGCAGTGACAGAAGAAGTATATAACCCACATATATATATATATATATATATATATATATATATATATATATATTGGAGATTATCCCCCGGTAGTTCCATAGATTCCCTATGGACTAATTTGGAGTTCGGGGCGGGTCTAGGATTTAGAAGCCCCTCCCAAAGATGGTCTTAGGGAGGATCGAACACATGCTCTCATCCTCACCTGCTCAGCTCTCATGCGTTAACTGAGCTATCATCATTTGGTACTAAACCTATATCAATCAAGGAGGGGCAGGCAGACAATATTGAAAAAAAGAAGAAGAAATTTAGGTTTAAGAAACTACTTATTGAAGGACATATAACAATCATTTTCCACTTTGCAGTACAGAGTTCATTATAACAAACAGGAATAATATAACACTTTCTCACATTGATATCATAGTAGGGAAATAATACTCTTATGCTACATAAGAATATATCATTTTCCTACACTAATTCGTTTTCCGTGCCAATTAATTTTTTTTTTCTTTTTTAATATAAAATATGGGACCCACATTTAACTTCTCTCTACTTTTTTTATCTCCTACAATTCTACAACATAAGAAAACTTAAACCCATCATAGTATTAGTAGGAAGACAGAAAAAGAGGTCGAAAAATGAAAGAGGACAACAAACTAACCTTTTGGCCATTGAGCTAGAATACTCTCTTTCAGTGTTGCAATACTAGTAGCAGGAGCAAAACTTCTGGGGCCAATATCAGAACCATCACTCAACCGAAACTTGATCTCTAATTGGTCTTGGCTCTCAGCCATACTCAGATTTCAGGAACTCGTGAATTTCAGAAATCAAATAGCTTCAGTTTTACCTCAGACCTAGAAATAGTCCATTGAATCACTTCATTTGAGTTTCAATCATGAATAAAATGAATTAAATCAAAGTATCTTACTCGAGTATTCTGCAAAACTTGATACCAAAAAAAAAAAAGTTTGAGTCCTCTCAATCACACTCAACACCCAAATAGCATACAAAATATGAAAAGGTTAACCAAATAATTAAGGAAACAATTAAGGAAACTATGAAGAGTTATCAAATGTTCTGATGAAATTTCCTGGCTTAAGAATATGAATGAAGAAATACAGAATAAATGAGCTAGGTCTATCTACATGAATAGATAAACAGAATAATCTGATTGAAAGTAATGGTTAAAAGGAAACATCATGGCAGAATTCAACACACTGACAAAGGAATCTTACACAGCTAAAGCCAAAAGTCCAAAACCAATCCAATAATCAAATGGGCATACATTAAATCACAAAATCATCTTGAATTCCCAACTGGGTCATCTGCAAAACAAGCAAGAATTCCAAAAAGAGAATGAATTGAAAAGAAAAGCAAAAACTTGATGGTTTTTCTGAGTTGGGTCAATCACTGATCTGGGTGGCAATTGTGTCAATCATGGAACTTGTTTTGAAAAAACAGATGAAAGAAGATGAAGTGGATGCTGTTTTTTTTTTCCAAATTATTGATATGAAAAACAAGGAAGCAAAGGAAGGGATAAGGGTTTTTTGGATTTTTCAAAGTCTCTCAAAATCTATAGTCAATGACTTTAATGGAACATGTTATTCTCATTACATCACATTCGGTAAGGGTTAAATTTCCTCTGAATTTTAGGTGTCAGAAACTGTTGAAAAGTGTCATTCAGACAACATGTGTATGTCACTCCACATTCTTAACATGTATGGACTTACAATCATAACGTTTCATCTGTAACGAGGTCAACCGAAACAAAGTTACATTAAAATAAAGTAAAAAAAAAATTTGCTTGAAAAATTATGAGGTATGTGTTTAATTTATAACATTAAAAATAATTCACCCAAAAAAAAAATCATTAAAAAAAAAAATGGCAGTAATATGAGATCAAAATACAAACTAACGACTTGCATATAAGTATACAAAGAGTGTATAAGTTTTTAGTTTTTACTGATATCGTTACTTTTAAGAGTAAACACCCTTTTTAGTCCCTGACAATATCTACGAAGTCCTTTTCAGTCCCTGGCAATAAAAAAGGACTAAATTGGTCCCTAAGAGTACAAGAAAAGGGCCACTCTACATATTTGGGAGTTGACATAAGGACTAACATAGCCCTTTTTTTGTAATTTCAGGGACCAATTTGGTCCTTTTTTATTGCCAGAGACTAAAAAGGACTTCGTAGATATTGACAGGACTAAAAATGGTGTTTACTCTACTTTTAAAGTAAAGAAATACTGAAGACTAGGATTCATGTGATGTGATACTAGTAAAAATAATTTAGTAAAGAATTTTATATTTAAATAGTTTTCATTATGTTTCTTCTTAGCTTGATATTTTTTTAAGTATCACTCTTGTTTGAGTTTTGTTCTTTACTGCCGAGAGAATACTAAATGTGTGCTTTGTTTATTTTTGAAGGAAAAAAATATTTTTTTCAATAAAATTTTAATTATAAGATATAAATATAAAATAAGTTAACATTTTTTTTGTACAAGAAAATAAGTTACTTTAAATACTCACTGTTTTGTGCAAAAATTCACATTTTTACAATCTGAAACACCAAGTTTACATATTTGTTAAAACATAAAAATATTTCTCAAACAGAGATATATTTATCTCCGTCCATCTAAAAATTACGTCGTTTTATTTATTTATTTTCTTATATTAATTGATTCACCTTTGAATGGTTATAATTTTTTTTTTCTCTTTCTTTATCACCATTGATTCATCTTTGTATGGTTATGATTTAGTAGCTGAAGATAAAATTATCTCAAGCAGCTTCAGAAACGATAAGCCTCGTTAAAAATACAGAAATACATCATTGTTAAAAATCATTTTCAACCTTTATAACATTAAATTAGAATCATCTTCTCTTACTGTTCTGTATTTTTTTCTCAAAAATACAAAAAACTATTTATTTAACTTAAAAAATCCAAAAAAATCTCCATTTCTTTTTCTTTATTTCCTTTTCCACAAATTCCTTCGTACATTTGTTTCCCAATACCACACATTTTTATTTATTTACTTTTATATGATTATGACTCCTCACATTTAAGCTTTTGTTATATAGGGGTGTATATTTCTCCGGCAGCTTGACGTTCAGCAATCAATTTAACATATATAGGTGACAATATTAAATGTGGAGAATCATAATCATACAAAATGTGAAAGCATTAAATTGGGAAATCATAACCATACATTTGTCATTGCTAGTTGTCGAACGGCTGGAGAAATGATTTTACAATATATATATATATAAGAAAAAATATTTGTCATTTTAAATGACATAAAGTTATGTCATTTTAAGAGAGAGATAGACAAAAAATAAATTTTTTTATTTAAATTTTAAATTAAAAAAACACCCACTTTCTCTCTCCCATGATTTCTATTTTCTGTGTCTATCTCTCTCCTAAAATGACATAACTTATATCTTTTAAAATAATAAACATCAAGCCCATATATATATATATATATATATATATATATATATATATATATATGCAGGATCGTTTGATAACGGTGTCAAATTAAAAAATTTAATACCAAATCTCAATCGTTGATTTTCGTGAATCTAACAGTCAAATTAAAAAATTTGATACCAAATCATTAATTTCTAATTAATTATAATCGTCAAATTGACGGAAATTAACGATTAAGATTCTGTGTCAAATAATATATATATATATAGGATTTGTCGGATATACAATCACTGCAACTAAGCACTGATGCAGTCATATAAAATAGCGTCATTTTATAGTGTGAAAGCATTAAATATGATAATCATAACCATACTAAGGTGAAAATAAATATGAGGAATCATAACCATACAAAGATGGAAATAAATATAATATATAATTGTAATATTTTCATTTTCTACAACGCGAATTTTCTTTATCCCACCCAAAATAGGCAATATATATATATATATATATATATATATATATATATATATATATATATATATATGAGGTTTACATTTCTGCGGTTGTTGTACGTGCAACAATTAAATACTTACCATATATATACTTAAAAGTATTAAATATGAGGAATCATAACCATACAAAGAATAAAAGTATTATATGTGAAGAATCGTAACCATACACCTGTCGTTGTTATATGTAAAGCGGCTGCAGATAATATATATATATATATATATATATATATATATATATATATATATATATATATATATATATATATATATATATCAAAGGTTAATTTTCTCTATACAAAGGTAGACTATTTCTTGGATAAAATTTACATATCTAGTAATAAACTGCCACATGGCTGTCGTGCAGTGTCAGGTACATGAAAGAAAAGAAGTAAAATAATTTTGTGTCATTAATTTAAAGGATTATTTATTACAGCTATGATTACACGGTAAGCATGATTATGTTTACGTATATACCTCTTTTTAATAAACAACAAAAATAACACCAACTACATTTGTGATTGGATCTTCGTAGAGTACATTAATTAATTAAACATTTTAAAAATAATACGATAGTCTATATGAAGGTATGTGATTTTTTTATTTGTCTGAATTATGAGAATAGCATTACTATTCGTATGAAAATTGGTACAAAGAGACGCATCAACAGCCTTTGCAGCCAATACTATTGTCTATTGCGATATTGGATTTGGAGGTGTTGTCAAATGTTCCAAACATGATGTTCTAACAAACCCTTGGAAGGAATAGTCTCTGTTTGGTGATGGTTGATAATCTAAATTTTAAACAACCACATGTGGGACCTCAACTTAGAGATATACTTACCTACTACTATATAGTTCTGATTATATATATATTTTTATTAGTTTTTGCAAGTTTAACCATTCTTCTGAAGTGGGTGTTTGAATATTCTTTTATATACTGATTTAGAAGATTCGACTCTTTAATATAGCTTGACAACTAAAGTTTAATCATTCAACCAAATTACACGTAAACTGATAACATTTAAGTAAAGAAAAAATGTGAAGAGGGTTATATATAAAGAAATGGATACGATATTATTACTATCAAATAATATTTTTATTAATGTCACTATCATATCTTAATCGTTGATTTACGTCAATCAACGGTTATTATTTTCATAATTAAACTCATTAATTAATTATTAAATCACAATAAATGATCATAATTGATTGACGAAATTTAACCATTGATAATAACATTATTTAATAGTAATAATATCCTTTCCCGTCAAGAAATGGTGGGTCTATGAAGCAAAAAACGATAAGGAGTTTGTTTATGTGAATGATAAAGTTATTTTTTTTTTATGTATATTTGAACGAAGCTTTCGAAAAAAAGAAGAAAAAAATCATAAAAAAATATTAATCCAAAAATAAAATAACTCCAACTTTTTAAAAAAAGTCATTCTAAAAAAATAATATATAAAAATGTTTATTTTGAAAAATCCATCCAAACATGGTTGGAAAAATAGACAATGACCTGGTAGCGACTGTCAATATAGAATTTAAATTATGTTTAATTTATTTTTATCTTAATTAGTTTAATTTATCTTGATAAGTTTGACTTATCGTATCTCATTAGTTGTATTTATTATTATTTCAAATTATGTTATTAGGTAATTTATTTTATCAATTAAAAAATTTAAGGATAGTCCACCGGTGATAAAATTAAGGGAAATAGATATACGTTGTGTCATGCTATAGACATTATTAATGTGGACCCCATCATTTTTTTTTTTTAATTTTAAAAGTGGTGGGGTCCATATTGATCGTGTCTATAACATGACACAACCAATTTCCTACAATATGATACATCTATTTCCCTAAAATTAATCAATGAATTAAACAATTACAATCTTCCTCTCAATTATCTTTTCTCCTACTTCTCCTATCCTTTCCATGATTTAATTTCTCTCCCCCTCTCTTCAAACTTCTTCTCCTCCTCCTCCCCTATTTTTCCCGTCCTTCTAATTTCTATCGCTACATACCCAGACCTAGTGATTATAAAATGCGTGTTTGATTTCGTATATTTAGTTTTACAGAAAAACTAAAAAAAATCTAAGAAAAATTATAGCTAAAAATTTGTTGAGTTAAAATATTCACAACTAAATATATATAGTCTAATCAGTACAAATGGATAGAAACACAAGGTAATTTGGGGGTTTAAATTTTGTCTGGGACATAACTGAAGCTCTTTTAACAATTTATAATTATATATTAAGGATAGTATATAATTATAATATAAAAATCATATTTTTCTCACTTTTCATGTCAGCAATAATATCTAAAAAGAGAATTGCTAAAAGAACATAAGTTATATCCTTTAAAAGGATAAATCATTTTACTATAATTTAATAGGAAAAAACAAATATTATATTGTAGGAAAAAATTCTTAGGTCATGTCATAAAAATAATCTATCGTGGGGTCCATTATTTTTAAAATAAAAAAAAGTAAAAGAATTAATAGACCAACTTTTATATTTGTGTAAAAAAATTGCCCAGGTCATCTAAAAGAAAGAAAACATTACCCAATTTAATAACCACTAAAATCCAAAAGAGTCAAAAACCTACACATACCATAAGCTTATTGTCACGTCCCACTCTCAATTGTCAGTAACGTACATAATTTATAACCTTATCTATTGAACTATACATTAGGACCCACTTCCAGTCTACCAATAGTGCTGCATGCTACATTCCAACTGATTCGAACGTGCATACTGCACATACTAATCAAGGAAACTAAGTACAAAATTTATAATGAAACAATTGAAAGTACTTTGCTACTCCTGAGTCCTGACTCTTCAACAAAATTTATTTTTATTCAAAATTTTTTTTATCTCATATATGTTATTCTTACACCAATATAACAAATCTTATACCAAATTTTAATTATTTATTTGCTTATATCTAACAACTCACATGTCAAATAATTCTAGACCATTAGAGATAAATAGAACCACGACTAAAATTGAAAAGGTAATTTACACTGATATAAAATAATCCTAACTCATCTTATCTTCCCTCATAATTTGCATTTATTTTACTTTCAAACTTTTTCCCTTGTTTTTTTCCTCCTTTTTCTCTTCCCCTTTCTTATAGTAACATGCACTATCAACCTTGTGAATGCATGAGCTGCAAAGATTAAGGGAAGAATCATTATAGGGAATTACAAGGAGAATAGGAAAAAAGAATTATCTGCACATTTCCAATGTCTGGTAATCGTACACAAACGAATAACAATATATATATTATCCTACAGACAGTTCCTCAATTCAATGGACCTGTAACAAAGCAATCTCATGAACTACTCCTAGAATTCACCATCTCATTATATCAAATCAAATAGGGTGAAGGTAAAAATTGGTGCTATGAAAAATTAACAAACTAAAAAATGATGGAGGGGAAGGAAAACGCTGCACTAGTGGGAACCTCACAAATTAACTGTCCAAGCACTGATTGAGGAGACACAGGCGTGTAACCTTTTTTTATCTTCAGAATTCAGTTTATTCTCCAATATTCACTAAGGAATCTTTGATAATATAGTATCCTTTCACCAACCAAAAATAGAGTACTTGTTTGTATGTCACAAGACTCTGATTCTCAAAGCCATGCCAATATGGCAACCATGTTTGCAAAAAAAATGTAGGGGATGGCACCAAATCCACCCCATCATGTCCTGATCCATTTGCCCTCTCAACCAATTTTCTATTTGCATTCTCAAATTCATCTTGAACAAAATCTCAAGCCGCAAAAATTTAGACGAAACCTGTATTTACTTTGTCCCTTTTTGTAGTATGCACTGTTGTTAAAACCATAGTGCTTCTCATTGGCAGACTATGATTCCAAGATATGACAGTTCCTAACAAAATCATTTGAATAATTGACATACTTGGTCCAAAATGGCCTAAGATGTTCAAAGCCAATTTCCAACCAGGGTTTTGACTGGCCATTGTAATGAATAACTGCAGCCCTTTTCACCTTCTCAACATCGGTCTTGTTCTGATAACCCAAGCCAAGCATGTGCCAAGAGGGGTCAATTGGATGAACATGACCTTTAAATGCAATCAAAGCAGGGGGTAGGGTTCCAAGCTTCCACATTGTCAGGTTTGACTTCAGATTCTGCCATACAGAACAGAAGCCGTCAATAATAACTTCTTAAAAAAAAGAAAAATTGAAGAAAGGACAAATGCCTCACTACAAAAGGGTGGAAATTCCAATGAAAAGACCAGAACACAGGAAACTAAAGATCACATTATTTCTCACTACTACTTCCAAACAAATTAATATACAAAGATGTTTAAGCCAGTACAGCAACATTAATTTGAAATTAAGAATTTGCTAGAACTTCAAATTATTGACAAGTAAAAAAGTAAATAACTAAATTGTATTATTTGGAGTATATATGGACTTTACCTCTTTCAGCCAGGAATGATATGTCTCTCTTATATTTGTCATCCTCCATACACGTAGATCAAAGATATTCATCCCATAAGCCCAAGCACACTCATCAGGATCCAAATGCATTGCAATGTGGGGGTGGGAAAAATTGAAGTAGTTCCTAAAATGCTTAGACATTACCCACTCATCTTCACCTCTGCAAGTTTCCACAGCCCCATTAACTTTTCCATTCAGATCAATTTCCCAAAGCGGCGACAAGTCACGTTGAACCACAATATCATCATCCAAAAAAACCACCTTGTCAAGGTTTGGGAAGAGCTGTTCAACACACATAAGACAAACACAATCAGCACAAATAAGAGTAGGGAAATTTTCTCCAACCTAAAATGGTCCTGGGTTAAAATTGGCACACATAGAATTAGTATATAAGTGCTAATTGCTAAAGAAAGCAATGCAAATGTGCCACAAGTTACAATTATCTACTTGCACAAGCAACAATACCCAGCGGGTGGAGCATCCCTGCATTCATTTCATGGTTTATGTTCCATTTATATTCTATACATTAACCCCACTTGTTCACCAATTTGGGAGGATTTTACTTGAGATATTTCAACACAATTCCGCATCTCTTAGAACATGGTTTTATGTTCGCTTCAATTACTGTAATTTGTGAGAATTCAGAGATATTTAGTACCCATCATAATCTATTATAAGCATAAAATGAAAAATATTACTAATAAACATTCAGCTTGGAGCAACCCAGTATAGAAGGCACATTCTAAGGTTTTAGGTCAATAATTCATCTCAAGTTTCGTTCACTCGCAATATACTTTTAAAAAAATTCCCCATGAAACCCTGACTCGCAAGGGTAGGGCTGTAGGGGTGAGAGAGATCCTCGCACGTAGTACATTTTTATGCAAACAGGCTATTTTTTGGATTTGAACCCATGACCTTTCAGTCACAAAAGATGGGTTCTATCAAAAATCAAAAATAAAAAATCACATAGAAATAAGATTATTAGCCAAACTTAATGAAATACACTATTCCCAATTTTCGTGAATTATGGTTTGAAAAGTTTCAACAATATTGAGTGAGAGAGAGAGAGAGAGAAAGGGACAGATGAAGAAAAAAGACACAAAAAGTGATCATTGTTGGATCCAACTTACCTCAGGTATGTATATGCGGATATGGTTGAGTAAAGATATGTACTTTGGACTTCTAGCCTGTAATTTTGATGCAAATTTATGTGGATTGGTATCACTGAGATTGGCTCCCGCAGCATGATTCCCATGGTAGTAACTTCTTATCCCATTTTGATTTTCTACAGCTTCAAGTACTGGAACATTTTCTCTAGTCAACCAGTCAAACTGGTGAATGCCTTTGACTTCAACTATAGCAGGGGAGGCAGGATTTAGAGCAAACCACGAGTGCATACCCGCATAAGTTTTTTTGTCGGTGATGACATGAAAGACTATATTCTCAGGTTTCTGAGATGACTGCACCGTAGAAGTAACAACTACTGAAGCAGCCAAGATGTTATCAGTTGACAGAATAAAATGGTGGTAAGAGTTGTCAGACAGCATAGGTAGTAACTCCGGTGGAGGCAGTTGTTTGCGTGCATGGGCATTTGACGAATATTCATCAGTCAAACGCAAAGACAGACAATGAATCCCTTTAGGGATAGAACTCGCTGCAAAGTGTTTATTCATCAGCTCTGCAAATTTAGATTCTCTGATTTCTCTCTCAAATTTCTCCATCTGTCCAAAGAAGCATTGCATGATAACAAAGGTCAATATAATTATCATTTATCACCACTATTAACACAAGAACTGTGATATCTATTATAATAAATGTGACTAAGCTCGGATAATAATTATAAACTAAAGATTTGAACATGCTTATGCTAAGCTTTACACAACACAACAATGTCTCAAACTCCTAGTAGTGATGTATAAAGCAATGGCTATCATTCATAAATAATTAGGGTTGTAAGCCAAAATCAAGATGATAATAATAATAATGATTACAAAGAACTACTCACTATATATTTGTGAAATGAGTATAAGACCTAAAAAATACTACCAACTGCAGATAAATAGACATTATCGGTTCAATAGCTGCAGTTCTACATAACTGAAATGAAAAGAATGATTAAAGAAAGCAAGGAAAAAGAGAATAAAAACATAAAACAGAGCACTTTCATGTGTTATAAAAGGATAAGAGAAAAATCTTTATTGGGCTTGTGACAAACATACCAAAAACTAAGATAATAATGTACTATGATTCCAGTATAAGCATTAATCCGAATCAAGTGGTGTCAGCTATATATGTAAGCCTCACGTAGATGTAAACAGACAAAAGCTAAAAGATGTTTCAGAGATAACAAACATATGAGCAGTTTGAGGAAAGACTTTTGAATTTCTAATTGAAGCAAATTTATGATTATCATAGGTCTACTTAATAACATTTAGTAGATTTCTTTAGCCTTCCTGAATTATATAAACAAGTGCAACCACCATGGTTCGTGCCTGTTTGGCAATGCTGTGAATTTGCACTTTTTTAGTCACTATTCCAAAAATCACGACCAGGAAGAAACATTTTTCCAATTGGCCAAATCATCCAATACATGCTCGTTTATATTATGATTGTTTGGCCAACATTTCAACTAAGCATAGAGATTATAATTTTAAAAATTCTTTCAAATCCCTCAATACACATAAAATGAACTTGTGCTTAAGCAATTTCTCTCTGTCGTAAATCTGAGATGAAAAGGAAAAAACACCCCCACACATTATAATGATGACATAAACAGGTCATACAAGGCAATACAGTCAGTACAATGCTACTAAAACACAGTATCAAGCTTAGCAGCGACTTCCATCTGATTTAAAAACCAGAGATAGGTTCAAATAAATATACAAACAAGAAGAAAATCTAAAGATGTTATAAGCTGAATTATTGTATCAGCTGACAGAATATTGCATCTTTATTGTAAAATTTTTCATAGCCACCATTCATAAATAGTGCATCAATTATCCCAACCTCAACCTTCTAATATTCAAATTTCAGAAATGACAGGTGCCTAAAATGTGTGTTTTCATTTTAAGCCATGTTTTTATACAATTAGAAAACATCAACCGAGTTCAATTTCAGACAACCCTTTCCCTACTTAAAATACCAATTAACCAAGAAATACACGATACTTTATGTAAACGTAAAAGCAACTTACCATTCCCCTTAAGATGAATGCAAACGTTTTTGCATCATATTGATTGTTCTTCATATCAGAAACAAGTTGATCAAATGAATCTGGCAGCTTTAGATCAGATGGAATTTCCCCAGTGTTCACTTCGTAAAGGATCTTGTAAAAATCTCTTACCAGTCTCTGCAGCACCATTACCATCATCACAAGAAGGGTTCAGATAATAGTTATTTAACTAAAAATTTAGTAGATATGATAATGTATTCTAAAATTTATTTGAAGTAACAACAAAATTATTTACCGCTGAATCATCAACCCTACCAAGAAACCTTGGTCCCAACCGCCTACCTAAACAATCTGGAGCAAAAAAACAAGGGACCAATCAAGGGCCAAAAATCGGCAAAAGGTGAGACAAAATGTAAAACAATGAACTTTCAGAACCTAAAACAGATAACATAATGAAAGAAAGATACAGACACATAAGATGATATTACCAAATGATACAAATAGATATATCAAAACTTTTATTAACAACTGACAACCGCAGAATCCAGCTTTGTACAGCCAGGGAGCTCAAGAACAACAAATATTTATACCAGATTTTATTAATATATGATAACACATGATAGTTTTCCAGTTCTAAAATATAAAGACCGCATTAATTTGTCACATGAAAGAATCTCAATCAACACAACAGGGTATAAATCTCAGCAAAACATGCCTGGAAAACATCATCATCACTAATCCTGAGTTCAAGTGCAGTCAAACTATACAAACAAAACGTTATAATTACCAACTCACATTTGAGATCCTGAAATTAAGGTAAATGCTTGCTAGAAAACTTTCATAATCATAAGGGAAATTGCAATAAAATAATTCCAGGCCATAACACAGGAACATATTTTTTTGACTCAAAATTCAAATCAAGATCTATTTTATACCAAAACAAATAAACAAACACATGCCAATCCTAATTAAAAACACACATTGTGGTAACAAAACAAAAGGATCAGAATATGAAGAATTAGAGTACCAAATGAGGAGCACTTGTTGACACCTTCAAGGGTAACAACAGCAGTGAGAATGAAGACAAAGGGCAACAAGAAAGCAAGGATGAGGATGGTGTGGAAGAGGGTTCGATAGGAAATGTGGCAAGCTGCAACCTTGATCTTCATCAAGTCAATAAAGCCATTGTTGCTCGATATCGTGATGCTTCTCATGCTAGGCGAGAAGTGAAGCTGCATCGTCGTTTATGCTGCTGCAGCACCACTATGTCGTTGCCACCAACAACAACAACAACCCTAACGGTTGCACCTGAAACAATCACCCATGGCCTTAGAAAACCCACCATCAGATCCACACCCACAATGCCCCTTCGAATCTGAATCTTTCTGGGGTCTTCTCGAAGACCGCATTTGAGTTTTCAACCAAATGGGTATCCGATTTTCGGCGAAAGGAATCAACTTTCTTCTGGGTTCCGGTGATGTTCCTCTCCCATGGATCAAGAAGAGAGAGAGAGAGAGAGAGAGAAAAGAGAGAGAAGAGAATAGGAGAGAGAGAGAAAATAAAAGTTATTTTCTATTTCCGGAAAATAATGAAAAAAAGAAAGAAAAATATGAAAACCTTTTGTGAGTCAAAACCGTGTTGGGTTAGAGAGTGGGAAGAGAGAGAAATTTGAGGGTTGAGTGTTTGACCTTGATATTAGGGACTAAGGACATGTTTTTTTTTTTTTTTTTTTAGATAGGTCCTATGTTTATGGCCGAGTCTTAAAAGGATTATGTGGATAGCATTCTGAGGGAGCAATGGTTAATTTTAGTTAATCTCTGTGTTAGTGAGAGAGGGGTTTAAATATTAGAGATTAGAGGGAGTGCTATTTTTTTTTTAACTGAAACTTTTCTTTTACATGGAATATATAATAACTAGAACTAGAAAAGGATAATATGTAGAATGGGGTAGCTGCACAAGCCACATCCATACCAAATTTTGTTGTATGAGAAGGATGAAATGGAAGAGGTGAAGCTTATATAAGCCTTATCAAGCCAGGGATTAATAGAATCAAGTCGGGTATGTTGACATTAGGAAGATTGAAATAAAAGATAGAGTGAGATTTTTGAACTAAAACTTAAATACATTAAATAAACATAAAATTGTGCAGCTGCACAGACCACATCTATACCAAATTTAGGTGTCGTTTCTTGTATCAGCGGAGATAAAATGGAGGAGCAGAAGATTATATAAACCTATCACACTAAACATTGGGAAGATTTAAAGTTGGAGACCTATTTTTTAACTAAAACTCTAATCTAGCAAATATAAATTAGTGTAGCTGCACTGGCCACGTCTGCACCAAATTTAGGCATCTTTTCTTGTATAAAAATTAGTGTACTACCCGTGCAAAGAAAAAAAAAATGGTTTATTTGTCTAGTAAGAGTTAATGCAACACATAAAAGTATATTACTGCATTTTACCCTGTGATGTGGTCATTCAAACATTACAAAGTTTGACTCAGCTTCTTTCAGTATTTTTTAGATATGAACTCTCATTTAACACAATCAAATTTACAAAATAATAATAAATAATTATTTGTTTTTAAAGATTTGTGTCGTTAGTATTTGGAACTTTTCAAATTTGTATTTTCAAAAATTAAAATCACAATTAGGAATTTAATTATAAAAGAAGAAGGGCGAAATTTTAATTTAATTATAAAAAATGTTGGCGGGCCGGTCCTCTGGACCAATTCCAGTTTGCAACCTCTAATTGTCAGCATTATAAACCAGCATGTAATAAGTTTTTATATTTATCCACACAAAAAAGTTCTTATAATTGCGTCTAAATTTTTATATTTTATCTCAGAAATGGACATTCATTTATTACAATCAGATTTACACAATAATAATAAATAATTATTATTTTGCAAGGATGTGTGTCCTTAGTATTTTGAATTTTACAAATTTATATTTACAAAAATTGAAATAAGATTTAGGAATTTAATTATAAAAGAAGATGTATGAAATTTTAATTTAATTATAAAAATAAGTTGGTGAGGGCCGAGCCCAGTTTGCTACCTCTAACTATCAGCATGTAATAAGTTTTTATATTTATCTACACAAAAATGTTCTTATAATTGCATTTAGATTTTTATATTTTATCTCAGACATAGACTTTCATTTATTACAATCAGATTTACAAAATAATAATAAATAAATTATTTTGCAAGGATGTGTGTCCTTAGTATTTTGAATTTTACAAATTTATATTTACAAAACTTGAAATAAGATTTAGGAATTTAATTATAAAAGAAGATGTATGAAATTTTAATTTAATTATAAAAATAAGTTGGTGAGGGTCGAGCCCAGTTTGCTACCTCTAACTATCAGCATGTAATAAGTTTTTATATTTATCCACACAAAAATGTTCTTATAATTGCATTTAGATTTTTATATTTTATCTCAGATATAGACTTTCATTTATTACAATCAGATTTATAAAATAATAAATAATTATTTTTTGCAAGAATTTGTGTCGTTAGTATTTGAAATTTTACAAATTTGTATTTTAAAAAATTAAAATCAGATTTAGGAATTTTTTTTTTTGGTAATCTAGATTTAGGAATTTAATTATAAAATAAGAAGGATAAAATTTTAATTTAATTATAAAAATATGTTGATGGGCCTGCCCTCCGGGCCGAGCCCAGTTTGCCACCTCTAACTATCAGCATGTAACAGATTTTTATATTTATCCACAAAGAAGGTTCTTATTGTCGCATTTAGGTTTTTATATTTTATCTCAGATGTACTTTCATTTATTACAATCACATTTAAAAATAATAAATTATTATTATTTTTTGCAAGGATCTGTATCGTTAGTATTTGAAATTTTCACAAATTTATATTTACAAAAATTAAAATCAGATTTAGGAATTTACTTATAAAAGAAGAATGATGAAATTTTAATTTAATTTTAAATATATGTTGATGGGCTGGCCCTCCGGGCCGAGTCCAGTTTGCCACATCTAACTATCAGCATGTAATAGATTTTTATATTTATCCACACAAAAATATTCTTATAGTTGCATTTAGGTTTTTATAATTTATCTCAGAGATGGACTTTCATTTATTACAATCAGATTTACAAAATAATAATAAATAATTATTTTTTGCAAGGATTTGTGTCGTTAATATTATTAATAGGCTGAATAATTTTTCATACAGAAAATAATGGGAAACATGCATAGAAGGATGTGCACATTCTCCAAGTAATAGTTTCTAATTTCTTATACTCTTACGTCAAAAGAATGAAAGTTTAATTTGTTTCTTATATATTGTATTAAAACTTTTATTTTCATAGTGATTAAATTTTATTAGTTATTTTCTTATAGAATGATAAATGTTATTCTTTATTTTTTATTTAAATTTAAATTTAAAATTTTGTTGTTTTCATTGTGCATATTTTTTTATATTTGTAACAAAAATATAATAAACAAATATGAGTTAATACAAAAATTATTCTACTAAATTGAATGTTTGGTGAATTGAAATGAACTGCATTTAATATAATCAAATATTTTATTATTTAACAAAAACATAATTTATATATATATATAATGTTATCTCCAGCCACCCAAAACTACATCGTTTTGTTTATTTATTTCCTTATATTAATTGATTTACCTTTGAGTGGTTATGATTCCCTTTTTCTCTCTCTTCCTTTATCACCGTTGATCCATCTTTGTATGGTTATGATTTAGTAGCCAGAGATAACATTATCTCAAGTAGCTTGAGAAATGATAAGCCCATATAGGCAAAAACATTTCTCAAGCTGCTTGAGATAATTATCTCAAGCAGCTTGAGAAATGTTTTTGCCTATATATATATATATATATATATATATATATATATATTAGAAACACGGTCATTGTTAAGACTTGTTTCATAATACACTATGTTTTTTTAGCAAACAAAATGTTGTTGAAAGAAAAAAAACTATTACTAATTAAAAATTATAAATTTAAGAATTCAAATTATTATTAAAACTTGCTATTCTAACTTGTTATCAAATGTGCTAACACACTTTCAACTTAAATTTTATTCTATTTCTTCATAAAACAGTATGATACCAGGTGAATACACATGTTTTATGGTTTTTTACATTATAAAATATTAAAGGCGTCCCCACGAACGCGCGCGCGCATACACACACATATATATTAATGTAATATTTAATAAGTAGTATATTCGAAATTTATTTCCTTTATACCTAGGTTTATTAAATTTTAATTTTAGCATGTGTAATCATTTATTTCCTTTACATGTGTAATCATTTATTTTCTTTATACTCTGTTTAATCAAATTCCAATTGATAATTCCAGTTTTTGCTTTATACTCTTTTTCCACCTATTAAGTTCAAAATTTAAATTTAAAAAGTTTGAATTATATATATTAAATATTTTCCCCCAATAGATATAATAAATAATATTATTAATAGGCTTAACAATTTTTCATGCGAAAAGTAATGAGAAATATTAAAATAATCTGTAAAATACTTAATGCCAAACATCTTTTTACGATGCAGGAGTTGGATGTTCACTGATCACTGGATGGTCATTCATCTTTGTAGTGATTAAATTTTTATATTTTTTTATTATTTATACATATTATTAATTAATTATACATATTATTCGAAAAATAAATATTATCTTTTATAGATGTACATATTATTCGAAAATAAATATTATCTTTTATAAATATTATCTTTGTAGTGATCACTGAATGATAGATGTAATTTTTTTATTAATTATACATATTATTCGAAAAATAAATTTTTTTTATCTTTTAATTTATAATTTATAGATTAGATATACATACATATATATAAATATATATATTTAAAATATTTATGTTAACTTTTTTTAATAAAATACTTGTACTAATTTATTTTTCTCTTTTTGTATTCTTTTTAAGTTAAATTTTTTATTTATTTCTTTTATAGTATAAATTGTCATTTCTTATTTTTTTTTGCATTTAAATTTAATATTTATTTTATTTTTTAACAACTATACATATATTTTCAAATATTTTTTCATTTGATCTACAATTTTATATAAAATTTAAATTTATTATATATATATATATATATATATATATATTTGTACTTCAGAAACATCAAATGTTCAATAAATGTTAAACATTAAATTTAAATTTATTATTTTATATAGTGAAATTTTAATATTATTTTAAAAATGTGTTGGCTTTTGTAAATAATATATGATTGTTTTTAATTGACCGAATAAATTAAGCCCAAATAATATAATAATAATAATTATTAAACCTAACCATAATAATATATTTTCCAATAAATATTATAAATATACTAACAATTCCCATATAGAAAGTAGTGAGATATTAATATAGTTGTCTACCACTAAAAAGTATTGAACTCATTTTCCACCTATATCAATTTAAAAATCGAATTTCAAAAAAGTAGTGGGATATAAATAAAAATATTTGCCAGCAATTAA